ACCATGACACATAGCTAATTTGCATTGATTCTAGGCTCTCGTGGACCTGCTGTCCTTGATGACTTCACTGCTTCATACGGCTACAAGTTCAGCGATGCTGCTGGCTACCAGTGGCCAGTCACTACCTCGACCCCCAACCGGCTGTAGGTCTTTGGAATATAGTTTACGATGATTACGGGAAGCGGATTCGGGATACGAAGAAATTAAAATCTCTATTTTCTTGACTCTGGTCGGCCGGCAGGAGTCGCGTCATATTGTGATACTTAGGTTTTCGAGACCAATTCAAAATTAGGATTGGATGCCACGCAATGAAAGATATTTACGCCCTTACTTTGTTGGATATTGACCAAATGTCATTCACCATGTTTATTTTTTATTTTTTATTTTTTATTTTTTATTTATTTATTATTTTTTGCTTGGACGACAGTAGAAAGAACTGAGCAAAAGCACTCCTAACCAGACTATGATATCAGAGCCCCTATAGAGCCCCTATACGAACTTTGCCGGGTGCACGTACATCCCGTGTCTACTATTCCCCTGTTCTATAATTGGACCCGAGCTCCTGAGCCCTGTATTACGTCATCACAGGTAGCCAATCAGAGCCAAAGGGTCCATGAGGCTGACATAAGGTTGACCTCCAGCCCTGGCTGCAAACAAACCTGTACATAAACCTAATACATATGTGTAAGAATTATATACAGAGAATAAATACCCCATGCATGGCCGATCCTGGCTGTCATAAGAAAAGCCGGATCGGCAGATGAAAGGACTCCAGGGTTAGCGGGTCTCGTAAATTAAATCGATAAGGCCGGGGGGGCCCGCATAGAGACGCTCAGGCCAAGGCGGATTTTCTCTCCTTCTTCTACGCCAACGTCTTTCTTTTAGAACTCATAGACGCATTCCGACAGCTGTATATACAGCGAAAGACACCTCCGTCGCGACTCACACGACATATCCCCGCTGTCAACAAACCACGAATCTCCAGACGTACCGTGTACGTTTTGGCCCCCGCGAGCTCACCCAACAGCCCCGAAAGGCACGCGACACAATTTCCGAACCGATCAGACCCCTACCGGCCCCTTTCTCAACACCCGGAACGCATCCCCGAACCTGCGATCACACACTTTTCTGTTCGATTCTGAACAGCGCGTCTCTTTCCCGGCTAGGCGCTTTCAACTGAATCGCCCGCTGGCTCGGCCACCTCCTGCCCCCCGACGATTTTGTTAGGCGCGGAAAAAAGCTGAGTGCATGCTAGCACGTGGATAATTAGGATGCCGCAGGCTGCGAGGTGGGCGGGGACGCCCTCCATCAAGGGGCGGAATGAGTCTACGAGGATGGCGCTTTTGACATTTAGTTTGGTGGGATTACAGTGCGTATCACCCGTTTCTGTTTTGGCGCTTGGGTATAAGGGTTTAGATGTTGCGCGACAATTTCTAGTTTGCGGGTTTTGGAGGCAATTGGAGGTTCCAGGGATTGTGGTAGTAGTGGCTAACTCGGGGTTTTGGGAATAGGTTCACGTGGGGTACTGAGATGACTTGTAAGAATCCACTCTTCAAATTGACTCCATTGTGACTTGGAAATAATTCTCGCTGACTTTATATTCATTTCCTTGTTAGATTGTACACCTTACCTTCTTCAGCTCGGGTTGACAAAGTCTAAGACTTCTTTGGTGTGGATTGCTGGCCCGTTGTCTGGGTTGATTATCCAGCCTCTTATTGGAGTTATTGCTGATCGGTCACGATCGAAATGGGGTCGGCGTAGACCTTTCATGATATTTGGATCGTTTGTTGTCGCTTCATGTCTGCTTATCTTGGGGTGGACGGCAGAGATTGTTGGTTTATTTGTTAAAGATCCGGAAAAGGTACAGATACTATTTCTTAGAACATCTGGCTAGATTTATGGTTATGTGAAAGCTAACATTGATTTTCTACAGGCTAAGAATGGCACGATTGCCCTAGCTGTGTTGAGTATTTATGCAGTGGACTTCTCCATCAACGTTGGTAAGTGGTAGACTTACTCGCATCTTGATCGGAAGTGGCTTACAATGTCTTAGTTCAAGCGTGCTGTCGCAGTCTGATTGTGGATACACTACCGATCCCATCGCAACAAGCTGGATCCGCATGGGGTATGGCCCTTCCCCATATGTCTCAGCCTCAAACCCTAAAACACAACTGACCTTTCTTGCAGCCGGGAGAATGTCTGCCATCGGCCAGCTCTTTGCTTATGTGGTCGGTGCCATCGATACCGTTGGCATCTTTGGGACTATTATTGGAGATACGCAGTTCAAGCAGATGACAGTCATTGCTGCTTTTTCATTGGTGGTGGCGGTGGCAGTCACCTCATACTCGGTGAAAGAGCGAGTTCTGATATCGGCAAGGTGGGTTGAACTCGAACCAATACGTATTGCCACCAACTAATCTTTGATAACAGGGATGACGGGAGTGCTGGTGCTATTCAAGTCCTCTCTCAACTGTTCAAAACTACTTTTGAATTGCCGCCTCGCATTCAAGCAATCTGCTGGGCTCAATTTTGGGCTTGGATTGGTATGGAAATTCCGCACCTGGGAAATCAGCAACACTAACATCAAATAGGCTGGTTCCCCTTCCTCTTCTACAGCACAACCTGGGTTGGCGAGACCTACTTCCGCTATGAAGTCCCAAAAGACGACATGGCCAAGGCAACAGATATGCTCGGTGAAGTCGGCCGCGTGGGCAGTCTTTCATTAACAGTCTTCTCGGCCATCACATTCCTCAGCTCTGTCCTCCTACCCTTTTGCATCCTATCACCGGACAGCAAACGGACACGATTCACCGCTAGACCCCCGCCAGGATTTGCATCAATCCTCAAATACGTCACCGCAATTCGACCCGACCTCCAAACCGCCTGGTTGATCTCCCAAATCATGTTCGCCGCCACAATGATCTTCGCCCCTCTAGCACACTCCCGCGCCTTCGCAACCTTTCTAGTAGCGGTCTGCGGTATCCCCTGGGCAATTAGCGGCTGGGCTCCATTCGCCTTTATGGGCGTAGAAATCAACAAACTAACAATGGGCGGCTATTCTCCCGCAATCCCATCCTCACGATCCGGCGTGACGATGATCACCTCAGCCAGTCTGCGTCACGCCGCTGCAGACAATGAACTGGATGTCCTCCGACTTAACCACCGCGATTCCTTCGACAGCGACACCGATGAGGAGGAACATTCATCCAATATTCCGTCAACAGGTGAACTGGCCGGTATCTACCTGGGCGTGCTGAACGTGTACACAACCCTACCCCAATTTGTCGGCACCTTCATCAGCTGGATTGTCTTCAGCATTCTCGAACCAGGCGCAGCGCCCGCACCCGATAACGCTGCAGACATCACATCTGATACGCAGTGGATGAATCTGGACAAGGATAGACCGAACGCTATCTCCATTTGTCTCTTTATCGGGGCGATAAGCGCCCTCATCGCGGCTGAGGCTACACGCCGACTGCGGTATGTACTATGAGCAAGCAGTGCAGAGCGAAAGCCGCGAATGCTGCAAAATTACGATCCGTTGCGATGAATAGCCATTGATTTTTGCTCGATACCCGGTGTATATTGCGAGCTTTGTCTTGACTAAAGTTAAGATTTTGTGTGCACACACTTATAGAGTATATATGTACAGTGAACCCCTTCATCTGTCTCCGCAAAAGGAGTTTTGTTTTTCTTTTTGGTTTACATCTGCACATACATAATACATAATATCTACGAAGCTATATGTACCATATTCTCTCTGCCGGATGAGACTTTGCTATCTTTAAATTTTAGCTGCCGCTTTTCTGAGCTCAAAGTCAGGCTCATGTTTCAGGTTGCCGCTAGCCAACTCCGGTGGGAATGTGCTCGGGTACCCCGGGACACTAATGCCGTTCATTTCCTCTCGGCCATGCTAGTCTACTAGGAGATCGCTAGTTTCGAGATATAGGTAGGAGGTTAATAGGCTCAAACGATTACGGTAGTTCAAGGGCTATACGGGGATAAGCCTCAAGATAAGCTATAGTAAGATAATTATTTAAAGGGGACTTGAATGGTAGCACGCGTATAGGGGAACGATGAGATGCGCCTACATTGTAGGGGACAGGAGATCACAGACTACTCCGTAAACAAGTGACAGTTATGAAACTAGTATAGTTAGAAAGAGAGCAAAAGGCGAGACTAATAAAAGGGATAAAATTCGTCTACTGATAATTTTCAGTAAGAATTGGGAAACACAGCTACCGAGTCGATGGTGATTGCAGTCAGGTCCCATTCCGAGGTGACAGCGACCTTTTCGGACCGGACAAGCTCAAAGGCTTTGCCGGATTTCCGCTGGGCAGATGCTGCCCTGCAATTGATTGGGTGTGACAGGGGCTGAGAGCCCACACCCCTGTCCCACTCCAAGCGGATTTTATGCCTTATATTCTAATAAATGTCGTCACGCTAATTACTTTAGGACATACCTATGTAATATCAAAGCGGAAGAGACTATTCCGGTATATAAACTCCAATTTTTTCTAAAATAGTACGTATGGTCACGAAAAGAATGAGTTTTCTCATTCTTTGCCCGCGCGATCTTCGACAAGTCCACCAAACTCTACTTGCATGGGGGATTTCTTAGTTTAGGCGCGCTACGATTAGAGCACCGAAAGCCTAAGTAGCGCGTTTAACTATGAGCAGGTTTCGTGGGGTTTACAGCCAGCTACGTGGGTCACCCGAGCATGTGGAATATGCATCCCAAGGCATAGAAGAGAGAGATATCCAGAAAGCGAAAGCAGCTAAATTAATTTGATGGCGTTGGGATAAATGCTTAACTGAGCACGGGCTGTGGGGCTTAATAGGGCTGAATAGGGAACCTAGTTACTGTTACAGCGACAGCGCAGCTGTTTTAATCCCTCTGCTACCGCACCCTCATAAGAAGCCAGTTTCGCACCTAGGACTCTGCAAAAAATCAAGCTAAATCACACCTCTCGAGATTGTATCCCTTTCAGCATTCGAAAATGTCCGAAGTCCAACATGGTGAATATTTGCTGGTTAGAAACATGGCCGAAAGCGAAAGGTGAAGACCTAAGCAATTTTTCATCCAATACCCTTTTAACATAGAATATAGGCTGGAGACGCAATTCAAAGCCTGGCAGGTCAGTATTGGGTATCTGCTTCATCCAGCCATCAAACAACATGATCGGATGCGCATTGCAGATGTTGGCACAGGGACTGGGTGAGTTTCAACTGCATCAGACAGGATAAATATTCTGACACTGTTTCCCAAGGATCTGGCTCCGTGAGCTCGCTGCTGTTCTCCCAGCAACTTGTCAGCTTGACGGATTTGACATCTCAGACGTCATGTTTCCCTCCAAGGATGCATTGCCAGAAAACATTACCTTCCACCATCAAAATTTCCTAGAGCCATTCCCGGAGGAGTATCTAGGAGAATATGACGTCGTCAATGTTCGAGTTATGGTGGCGGCTTTATCTCATGACGAATGGGAGCCTGCCGTGCAGAATTTGATGACACTTCTCAGTACGAAGCTTCCTATCTCAGATCCCATTGATCCAAGGTCTAACCTACCAGTGAGCAGAGCCAGGGGGTTATTTGCAATGGGTTGATTGTGCCGCACATGACTGTGTAGTCAAAGGAGAGCCCGAAGGGAAACGAGCCACCAATGCACGACATGGAATTGACTTACTCCGAAGGACTCTGAATTCGCTTGGGAAAACACCACAGTAAGTCTGATTTTTCCTATTGTTAGGTAAACTAACTGATCCCCCTTTAGTGTTGCTGCTCTTTATGGCACATTCCAGAACAGTGGACTGGAATCTTGTGAAGAGCGGATCTACACTCTTGACAACCCAGACACTCGGGAAGACGTCAATCTCACAGTTGCCGTTGCAATCCAGCATGCCCTGACTGCTGCTTTAAAAACACACAAGGTGGATGGAATACAATCCGTGGACCAGCTTACGACCCTGAGGGAGGCTATGCTAAGTGACTTGCACAGCCTTGGTTGCTATTATTGCCTTGATGTTTACGTTGTAGTTGGGAGAAAACCTTGATTGAATAGCCTAGGGATTCGTGCTACAAGGAGGTCTGTTAATATTAGGTCTCTTCAACACCAGGCAGCTTCTAGACAATTTTCTCGCTATTACTATAATTGATTTCATTCAAGGGATGTCACGATACACTCTGTTAGACGTCTCCGAATCTCGCAGAGCAGTCACTATTTGTGTTCAGGTTCGAAAGTCTCCCAAGAAAGCCCGAAGAATAGGAGAAATATAAACATAAGGGTTTGACCAAGATAGGTAAAATATATGGAACAAAAAGGGGACTAAAAGAGGCATTAATGAAAATATATAAAAGACCCGAGGACCATCTGGAGCCCGATTATGCAATCTAAAAATGTACTCTAGCTCCTACACTTATTTATCTTTTTTTTTTTTCTTTTCTTTTCTCTGTATGGTTCCTACAACACCTTCAAGCCTCAGAGTGGAGGGCTTTTCGCAAATGCCAGTTGATCCCATACCTTTGTCCAGTGGCTTAGCAAAAGTACTACATATTGCAACGTACCCCAAGCCTGAGAGCCCCCACCAGTCCCGTTCCCGATACCCAGATCTCGATCTCGGTCATTTCTCGAGAGTATCAAAAGATATCTGTCCACGTAAACGAGGGGTTAGAGGCCATAAAGGAGAAGTTTACACGTGATGTGACTAGGGTGTTGCTTTTTTGAACAAAGTACATATAGACAGGATAATGTCTGACAAGTCTTGGCTTTCCCCTTCCGTTTTAGTGCTCACCCCTTGCCGCTTTTTGCTCACTGAGTAGAACTGAGCACGCCCTGAGCATCACCTGATCGTTATGTAAGCCACATGCCACGCTCACTGAGCAATCCGATCCCGCTCACTGAGCGTGACCTGAGCGCTCTGATTTGCTCACTGAGCTGAGCGATCCCACTCACTGAGCATGACCTGAGCGCTCTGATTTGCTCACTGAGCAGCCTGATCCTACTCACTGAGCACGATCTGAGCAGAGCGCGGGAGCAGCTAAGTCAGCAGCTCACCTCAATAAAATGCACCACGCTAACCTCATCCAAATGCACTTGGTCAGCACAACTCTTGACCGTTGTCCCCTCAATGAAAGGCTGGCGTCATCAATTTGGTGGTCGATCCTGGTTGTCCCACCTCCAGCTGGGAGGCGAAAGCTGTCATAGGACCACTTTCGTTGGTTTTACCATTCTGCGGCTAATAAGCACGCAACCATGGGTATGATCATTGAAGTTTTCCCTTAGCCCATATTCATCTGAAGGACTGAGTTGCAGCCAATCATCTCTTGGGCCACTATGACTTGTTCAGGGCGGATTTTCATGTCAGAATCTATTTCTAGTAGAAGTCAATCTGGGTATGTAGTGGGACTCCAATTCCTACCACTCCAGTTGTTGTACTCTTGACAAAGCTTCCCTTCCTGTTTCCCTAAGGCTTCTTTCATTCGAATCAATTGCTGCAGCTTCACCACTTCCATCCCGTAGTCGAGTAGGGCGCCTCTCATGCCTGAGCCGAAGAAACACTGAGATGTTGACCGAAGTTGTTCCAAAATGGACGTTGGCGTCAGCACAGGCCAAAGGTTGCCAGCCTCCAACCAATAGTAGCTCACTTCACCGCGGGCCAGTGATTCGGTAATTTGACAGAAGTGGCGGTCGACAATGGTACGAGGCCTTTTGATTTTGTGATTATACCACTTGACTTCTTGCACGAAATCAAATTCAAGCATTTTCACTGCCGTAACCGTCTTTGATTGCACTCTCTTCAGAGCGCCGATGCTCTCTCTTAGATCTTGGCCGTATCTATATCTGACTGAGCAATCTGAAGATACAAAACTCGATATGATGTGCTCCAACTCTGCAACTTCGGGCGTTGTGTAAGTCTCCTGCTCTAGTGGGATCTCCGCCGGGATGGCCATCTTGCCATCCATCCAACGCTCGAGAGAGCTGAGATCATAACACAGCATGAGTCTAGAGCCAGGCTTCCGCAATAGCTGGCCCACATGGGGCGCGGAGTAGTCATGCATCGGTTCATCACCGTGTTCTTGATAGGCCGGGAGGACGTGTTCCGGTGCCACATCATTCATGTTTGCCCAATGATCGTTGAGCACTGCCTGAACTTCCTTGATGTGATCCAACAACTGTAAGTTTTTATACATCCGAAGCCACTCCAATGAAATTGCCCCTATCGCCTTGTCGGCATCTAGATAGGTTAACTGAAAGCCATCGACAGAGGGTGTAGAGCACGGCCATTGCTTGACAAGGTGATCAGCAAAAGCTTGGCACTCGTCGGTACATGCAAAATTGTGTTGCTCTTTTGCATCGTTTTGTACTTGCTCGGAATCGCTCCTCGATTTCCTTCCTCGCAAGCCTTGATAAGGCTTACAGAACGGTATGATATGGGTCAAGATATTGTCCACTGATGGTTTCTCGCCTGCTTGAATGTCGGTAAAGGAGGGAAATGGAGGATAGACTAAATCTTGGAGATCGTCTAAGAGAGCAAACGACACGAGAACTCTTAGTAGTTTCGGATCCGAACAAAACGCTGGGGTCGGTGGAAGGGCTGACACCAAACAGGGTGGAGTTGTGGTCGGTGTTCAGGACGCTGTTGAGGGAGCGGGCCTTGTGGAACTGGACGTCTGGGTAATGTGGTTCGTCTTTTAGTGCATGCAAGTACATAGACTGAAACCCACTGTGCTGCAGGCCACGCTTCTGACGGATGGCTTTGACACGGTTGGCACGGCGAACAACGTTGGCGTTCTCATGGCCACGGGCCTTGAGCTTGGAGGCACACTGGGCGAGGCTGCGCCGGTGAACGGGGGCGTTCTCTAAGAAGGAAGCACGCTCGGCAGCCTCAGCACGAATATCGTGGCCGGGATGAGCAAAGACAGCTCCTGCCAGACTGAGAATGCCTGGCGAAGGTGGAAGCAAATTGCACCATTATATAGATGTACCTTTAATGTATTGGAAGAATAGAAGGACGAATTAAGTTGAATTGATGGGGATGAAGAAAAGAGAACGCTCAGCTACTGATCCCCAGTCTTTTATGTCTATGCCATGGACATGCACAGCAAAGGCAAGAAGGAAGCCACACCATCGTGCAAAGCGCTATAAATTGGTGGAGGAATACTTTATATTTGGGTTCAGACTTAAACAATCTCGAAACCAAATGCTTACTAGCAAGCCAATTGGGGCCAATTTTATCAACACCTTCAATGAATCGTAATATATCTAAGCTAGAGCACATATCCTGATTTAATTCCCCAATTTTCTTTTAGCCTCTGAATCCACCTCTCGACCGACATAACCTGCTCTCCAACCTTGACGTTCCCGTCGCCAATTTCCTCCATCTTAACCGCATCATATGCCGGGACATGGAGCATCTCATGATCTTTTCCACATATCGAAATATCCAAAGTCCCTTCGCGCAACTTGTTCAAGCAGGCTAGGTCAAAATGTATGTAGTCGCATTGTCTGCAAGCGTATATATCGTTGGCGAACGACCACGTTGTCCCGCAGTTTCCATCGCACACGACATATAAGGGCCCTGTAGGTTCTTGAGAAGACTTGTCACCTGAGGATTCTCCGTCGTATTGGGTATCAGTGGTTGGTACAATCAATGACCATGCTGCAAGACAGTCATCGTCCTCTTCCGCATGAATCAAATACATTGCCAACTCATTGTATCCTTGCCAGTCGTTGAGGGGATCATCATCGACAAGAATATCGAGGCTAGCTTTGACATAAGGGCGCAGGGCGTCTTTAGCTTTCTCTTTGTCTCCTTGAAGTGCGTAATACCGCGCGAGCAAGCGCGTTGGATACGTCGAATAACACCAATCAGCGTCAACACTGGTGACGCTTTGCAACGCAGCAAGTTGCTCCAGTTGCTCTATGTAGGGACCTGCGGATCCTGGGTCTCGGCGTGCTTCAATAAAGCAGACACTCGCAAGCCTGGAGCGCACGTACAGCTTGGTGCTCGTGAGGTTGTAGTCACCGGCCAAGTTCTCCATTTCCAAAATGCGCACCCACTGATCGATTGCGATTACCTTTCGCTCGGGCTTATCGGTGCTATTCTCATAGCAAAGGTATGCGAAATGGTGCATGAGGGTTGCCTGGCAAGCACGGCAATATTCTTCTAATTGGCTTTCCTCTGTCTTCCTTGCCTCTGCGAGCCGTGTTTTGGCAGCAGTGATGGCTGCCTCGTAGCTTTCAAAGATGGAATCAAAGGCTGCCGCTTCGGAACCAAGGGCACAAATTGCTGCGTGATATTCCGCACTGTCGCAGTTGTAGTGGAATGCTTGTATGAGTCGGTCCTGCCCAGTCCCATCTGTAGACTCCTTGAGTGATTCTAAGAAATGAAGAAGACCGCCACGGTTTTTCTCGTTGTGAAAAAGAATCGTCAGCGAGAGTGCTGTCTCATAGTCGTTGGGATTATCCTGCAGGAGAGATTCGTATATTCCAACGGCTTCATCGATGTGTCCGGCATCGGCATTCCATCCGGCCAGGTCACGATCCAGGTCTGGAATGACCAAATGGTCTTCTTCGGTGTCTCCATCCTTGATAGTCTTCTTGGCTGCTTCCGCTATCTCGATTGCGAGTGCATAGTCCTTCTCGTGTGCATAGCAGGTTGCCAGGCCCCATTCCGAGAACCAGTTGTATGCGTCGAGCGAAGAGGCCAGCTTGAACTTTTCGATAGCCTCGGGATACAGGTGATACTTTTGAAGAGTGCGTGCTAGTCTACGGGTCTCCGTGTAGCCCAAAGTGCTAATTCCAATGTACTTTCGAGCGTATTCTGCGGTGTCCAAGATTTGGGAGGCATTGGCATCACCCGGGCTCGGGTCACTGGTAGATCTCTGGAGTGTCGGGCTTTTGCGATTCTCAATCTAAAATGCGATCGGTTACCAGGCCACTCCATACTTGTTTGCTTTTCTCTACTTTGCTTGGGCTTACCTTTGTGGCATATCCATAGAACGCAGCGAAAACATCAGTGATATCATAAACACTTGGTTGGAGCCAAATGCGAGCCAAATATCGAGCGATGTGTTCGATAATATCTGCATCGGGTTCTGATTTCGAACTCAAGCTCTTGACCCACTTGGTTTGTTCCACAGAGATATTCTTGGTGACGGCTGAGTCCTGTAGCCATTTTAGCGCAACATCAGCAAATTTATCGTTGTAGATCCAATCGTGCCTCCGCCAAGGCGTCCACCACCATCGCTTAATTATTTCATCATCAAAAAATAGGCTCACAAGTTTAGGTCCAAGGGCAGTCTTTTGTTGAGGCTGTGTCAGTGATGGATCTGTGTTTTGGAGATGCACAGCGAAATAGTCGACCGCATAATCGAGTAAAGGAGCAAGGCCGGGAGATTGCTCTGAGCAGATCACATCCAGACAAGACGTGACAATCTTAAGGTGTGCGCTCTCAATATCGACTCCGACCCTAGCAGTCTTTCCTTTCAATTTATTTTGGAAGAAATTATCGAATCCAAATTTGTTGAACAATTTCGGGTCGCAGACCGACTCAAGGAATCTCTTAACTATCCTGACCTCAACCTCATTGACATCACACGTGGGACCCATGCCCTGCTCATCGTCAGCGGTTTCAGGGTCAGGCTTGGCTCGCAAGAACTCTTCTATCGAGTCAGATACTAGCATGACTACTGAGGTGGGTGGTATGGTTTTTGTTATGGAATGCGGTTCACCAAAGATCTTGAGCAGTGATGAATACTGATCTAAAATCTTCTCGGATAGTGGGCGCAGAGAGGACTCACGGGCCTTCAGGAAGAGCACTGCCTCTAGTTCTTCCAGGGTCAGAGGACGCGAGGCAAACACCACCCAAGTGAGGAGGTCGTTCAGATCAGAGATATCTTCATCGCTGAGTGTGTCATTTAGCAGTTCCATTTTTCTCTCAATCGTGTCAGATCGGTTGCCTCCAGAACGTGACAAGATGTCTCTAATTTCCCCCGGGCGTTGTTTGCCGCTGATCTCATGCAAGATGAGGCCGACGTTGACGAAATCACCATGCGTCTGCGCCGTGAGGGCTTGCAAGATTTCGCGCCGTAGTGAAGGAAGTTGGTCCGACGAACCGCTCAAAATCTCCATCTTGTTCATGCGGTCGATGATATATTTCTCCATGTCATCGCTGTTTTTCGAAGCCACATCAATGATTGATATTCCCTCACCCATCCGAGACTTGATCTTGGTCATCGTTTGATCGCGTCCAGAGAGAAGGATACGGAGCTTGAACCGATGCCAAGTCCCAGAGATAGCTTCCAGTTCTGTCAACAGCTGCATGAAGTCCTTGAGGTGGTTCTTGTCCACCTGGTCAACGCCATCCAACAAAACGAAGAAAGTGGAGTCACTTTTGTAGGACTTGGCAAAAAGTGTTTCCCAAATGTTCTCTATCTGATTGATACCGCCAACTTTGGTGGAGCTTAGATCTTTACGATAAACGACATCTTTGTTGGCAATCTGCCATGCCAGAACCTTCAAAGCTTTGAGCAAAGAAGCATTTCCTTTCTCGTGTTCAAAAATGTGGTAGGCAGTCGAAATGCACTTGAGATCGTCGGCAACTTGTGCGTGAGCTTCTTGCAGGTGTTGGACTATCGCTGCAAAAAGGAAAGACTTGCCATATCCCTTCCCCCGGAGATACCGAGGATTGAACAAGATGAGTCTTGAGGTTTCGCCCATGCTGTGTACAGAGGATCAGTCCGAAGCCACTCTCCACTTCCGGGGACCTGGTCATTCAACAATCGCTTGTAAATTGTTTGTGAGGTTTTGTGAGTCTCACTTGGAGTATCGAGGCTTGAATCAATGCTGTTTAGTAGCCTTTTGGCCACATTATCCGCTTCTTTCTTCTTCTCAAAAGTGAGCAACCTGTCCACTGTGGCGTTGATCTTCTTGGTTCCTTCTTTGTTTTCAATGATATTCCTCTCACTGGTTTTCTGCGACTCAAAGCCCAGTGTTGCACGCATCTGAGACTCTCGCTCAACTAGCGTCGCCAGGCGACCTAGCTGGCCACTCACACCCTCGTCACTGTCGAATGCAAATACCTTCAACGCAGTGAAGACTTTGTGACCCCTCAATACCTTGATGGACAAAGCGCAAATGTCGACGAAGCATACCAGTTCCTCGTTGATAATCTTGCGAAGCGAGATGTCAACTGCGTCAGCAGGAAGACGCATATAGATTTTGCAGCGCTCCAGCACGTCGGAAATACGCCGGAACAACTCGGAAAGGCTGCTGAAGATGCGCTTGTACTTTGATCCGGTGCTAATGAGATATGAAATCGCATTGAAGCACAAACTGCTAGGAGCAAATACCTAAGATAAATCGATCAGCACCCGTTTTCTTCATATGTTTTTGACCTGTTTTGTCACCCACCATACTGGCGCCTTGGGCGGCTATGCCACCTAAGACCATGACGAAGTTCAACGTCTTGCCGATCACATCTTTTGCAGTTTTATACTTGTTATTTCGCTCGTCATCTTCATCTTGCTTCGTCCGAATCTGGTCTAGAACTTGGTCGACCGTGTACTTCGGCGTAGTAGTCAGGTCAACTTTCGCTGTCTGCGCAAACGATGTGCAAGCCCTGTCCCACGCCTCCTGCAGGTTGTAATCGTTATCTACTGGGGTAGACATCGTTTGCCTTGCCAATAGTAGTTTGAATTGTTGATAGCCACAGCCTGCGGGCCTGGTGATCCTAGCGAGTTACTTGCGGTTCTTCCCCAAAGCCTCACTGGCACGTCGTTTGCGATACAGCCGGGGCGACATGGGAATTCTTATATTGCATGGGTGAATTTTTCTTTGCGGCTGAAAAAGCGGCTTGAACCCCCACCATGTCGGAAAACGCTTCTTCGGGAAATGGGGCCGGCATTTCGCTGCTATATGAGGGGCATGCTGCGCCGATGGTCGTGATAGGGCGCCACGTCTATCCCGTGTCGCTAGTGGATTTGTTGTGAAGCGCCTATCCAAGCTAGATTCCTCAACTTCCGAGTAGGCAATAGGATATAGTCTTACTCCTAATGTTGTTACCACTTTTGAGATGCTAGGAGCAAATCGGTGAAATTTTCAGTGTCTGAAAGACCCAACTGTCCTAAGGGCTTAAGGCTTAATGATCATTGTTTTGCTGGCCAAAAGAACTGAGATATCTGGCTGGGCATTCAGTGTTCCCTTCCTTCATTACCCATTTACCTTTTCCCCTCTCGTTTCTCATACTAGCGCTGACTCGCTAGACCCTTGTTTCCGTAGGCTGTACGAGGTATCCACCTGGGGGCACACATTAGTCGGATTTTAAATGTGGGCTAGCGGGCGCTAGGTCACACGGCGCTCAGGAAGACTGGCGTTTTCCAAATGGAGGGATGTCTGCAGGAGTGGTTCCCTTGAGCTTTCCGGATTCCAGGCAATGTATTGACTGAAACGTGGACGACTCGGCGCGGCCGATGGCCAAGCAGAGGAGGAGAAACCCGGGACATGATCTAGGCATAGTGTGTTTATTAAGTGCTAAAGAAAGTTGTACTGGATGCGAGGCAAATGGCTGAACTGTACATGTATGACCAGCCTCAAGGTTTTATTAAGATCTAACAAAAACACACGAGCTAGGAATTGGCTACTTTGGTCAGAGGAACATCTGATTGTGGCTGGAAAGCGAAAAAGTAAGAATGCGGATAGAAAATGCTGGAGGCTGGTAATTTAATAGGTTAACTATCCAAATTTCACGGGAGAGAGTGGGGAGGAGATTCGACAGGTAGGCAATCTCGTCAATTGGTTTTAGGCCAACATTTATTTTCCACATACCCATTCCATGGGCCAGCCTGACAATTTGGTATATGTGGTCATCTTTTGAGATCCTTGGAGCATTTGGTGTGTAAAAGGAGTAAATACAGAGAACTGTGTACTTCAAACCCTGGAGCGGATTGGTTCATGTCGTCGAATCTACACGCCCTTCCTTGCCATTAATTAATTGCCTGTTTATTACTATAGTGCCCTCAATCAGTCTCTGTCGTCCTACAAATTTAGACGTCCAAATTGCCATCAAGCATGGCTGTTACACAAGGTAAGGCATTAAATTATCCATGATTTACCATACAATAACATTGTGTAATTGCAGCCTTCCTAAAAAGAGCGCCGTGTTCCAGTGCAAGGCTGAGGAGGACCTCGCCAGATGCGAACTGCGGTTTGCTGCTATCTCGTATACCAATTCCGAACCTTGAAACATATTAGTGCAATCAAGTGATAGTCAAGAAATTTCCAGCCTTACACTGTATATTCTGAATCTCGATTATTCTTCAGCCAAACCTGGTTGACCCTCCATCCCACTTCCCAAGGATCGGTGCGCGAAGGAAACAGAACCAAGTCGATGTGCTAATATCAGGCCTTAGAACAGAATAATCGTTAGGAATGGTAGTTCACCTACTTCGTATCGAAGGCCTCTCTGGCGTTTGTTCTCATCCGAGGGCATAAAACTTCCCACCCTTGCTCCAGTGAAAAGATATAGTTAAAGAGCAAATAGTATGTTAACTTTGATCAGCCCAGGAATGAATTTCTTATGATCAATTTGCCATATCGAGGAGACGACTTTCAAAAAGTCGTCCTTTGTAAAGTTATATTTCTGCTTTTTCTTATTCACAACAACTTTATCTACCGTTAAGGTATTCCTGATCCACTATTTCCCGTTCGATAAAGATTAATTCCGTCCATTGATTACTTCAGAAGAAAACAGGGATGGACTTACTTGGTAGACTTCCGTTCGATCCTCTGGAATGACTTCGGTTTTGGTAAATTCAGCGAAACCACCGAAGAACTGCTCAGCCCACGCCTGAGCAGACCTCACAGTTGGCTCTTTGCCCTCGGTAAGTCGACCTAATGTAGATTTTGCAAGCCAACGAATGAATTACTTCACCATGTCATGGCTCGGAGCCTCACACCCCTCAAAGGTTTTATAATCCTGATATCCATTTTCGGGATCTGCCGTGAAGCTGGGAAAAAGTCAGCAACGATTTGGCCGGCATTTTTCTCAACGTACTCGAGCCAAAGTCCCAATTTCTCTTGATGTAACCTCTTTGTCTTAGGAAGTTTTTTGTTTTTGTTTCGAATGGAATCTTCCTCCTTGTGTGCTCCGGGGACGAAGCCATTCTTCTCTCTAAGGAGTCGACGCTTCTCTTTCGCCTTTTCATCGCGCTCGGAGAAAAAGAGCTGTCCGCCCATTATCGAAGACGCTGCCTGATCTAAGCTTAGAGGCACTGCTCGAGGAAAGCGATCTGAATTCGAAAGCAGTCATGAGATATCTAGAGCTGGACATGATCCCCTTTTGTACCTGACATTTTGAGCTCGAGCCACCTCTAGAAATTGTAGACTTTGACATTATCGCCCCGTAATGCATGACTATTTCCATTTTATTCCCTGCACGACAGATATGACGCAAATCACTGATGGGGTAGGGTAGTCAGAAAACGAGGGCAGCCCAAACATGACCGACGGACTAGCCATCACGGAATAAATGGCCCTGTGGGGTCCGTCTATTTTGAGTATGGTCTATTTTGTGCTGGCAAAATCAGAGGGTGCTCACTTGAGGCTTAGTAAGGAATCACCTAGTTCGCCTGAGCACTCACTGAGCACTCACTGAGCCGACACTGAGCACGACTGAGCAATCACTGAGCAATCACTGAGCATTAGTCATCGGTCACGTGATAGGACTGAGCATGATCACTGAGTCTGAGCGCGTACTGACGTCTACTCAGTGATCCTGAGCATGAGCGCCCTCATGAAGCAGCGGCAGCCTAAATAGGAAAGGCCCCACCCGGTAGACTTTATCCTGTCTATATAGCTGCATATAACATAACTTATCTCAGGTTGGTTCATATCTAAATATACGTATGGCCCAATTCCCCAAGGGAGGATTCGGCCACCTGGTCGAATACAAAAATTATCTACTAGTAGTCTGATGCAAATCCCTTGAAATATGTTGTAGGTACCTTCCGTATGGGGCCATCGTATATAAGGTACTTAAAGTCAAAAGTTTTAACTCATCTCTCTACCATAAAATATACGCAGGGGAGATGTTGGTGTTAAGAATCGAAACAACTCTACAATTAAGAGTGAAGCTGTTTTCTAAAATCTATGTAGTAGTTGAGCAATATGATGTTTTAAAAGAAATTCGGATCGTAAGTACCTTTTGTATGGCCCCATTTGTAGACTCGTGCGGCTCAATTAAGGGATTCACTTAACCCCACCAATAACTAGTGAATAATACGATAGATTAAAAGCAGATGTCCTGTAATCCATAGACAGATATATGTTAATTAATGGTCTTATAGAGACGTCCATGTTCATAGGTATGATATCATCCCAATAACCGACCTTGGTCTTCACAATCTTCACTCTCTTACCAAAAAACAATATTAGCTGTGCGAAAATCCATTGGCCTTGGTGGAGCCGGTGACGGGATAGTGATAGTGCGGCGATGGTGATCGCCGCAAGCGGCGTGGAGGCATATAAGAATCTCAGAGCTACCCTTCGCCCTCAATTAAAACAAACATCAAACATACTATTCGATACCTTTCAGAAAAGAACAGCAAAAATGGCACCTAAAGTCCTCGTCGTCCTCACTTCCTACGACAAGATCGAAGCCACCGGTGACCCAACCGGCTGGTTCCTGGTATGTAACACCAATTATAGCTTCAAACGCCTACATACACCTACACATCTTTTTTTTCAAAATAAATCAATCACACAATAAATCCCAATGAAACCATACTAACCATCCACCAGCCCGAATTCGCCCATCCCTACGATGTCCTCCATGACAAAGTCTCCCTAACAGTCGCCTCCCCAAAAGGAGGCGAAGCCCCCCTAGATCCAAGATCAGTCAAGATGTTCGAGGGAGACGAGGTATCGCAAAAGTTCCTGAAAGAACAAAAAGCCCTATGGACGAACACGTACAAGTTGGAGGATATGCTTCCGCGCGCGGGCGAGTTTGATGCGATTTTCTACGTCGGTGGTCATGGACGTAAGTCACCATCACATTCCTTTCTCGCTACTCCCTTTTTCCAGCTGTGGCTATATTTTTGTTATCCAAACACATCCCATAAATTGCAAATCACATATTCTAACAATGGGATGTATAGCAATGTTCGACCTAACAAACGACCACATCTCGCTCGCTCTAATCCAAACCTTCGCAGCAGCCAACAAGCCCGTCGCAGCCGTCTGCCACGGTCCCTGCGTTCTACTGAACGCGACAGCACCCTCGGGCGTACCTCTTATCTCAGGCGTTGGCGTGACCGGGTTCTCGAATGCCGAGGAAGATTCCGTGCATCTGTCTTCTGCGATGCCGTTTATGCTTGAGACGGAGCTGGGTCGTGTTACGGGTGGGAAGTATGTTAAGGCCGGGGAGCCTTGGGGGGAGATGGTTGTTATTGGGAAGGCTGCTGGGACGGGGTCGACTATTATTACAGGACAGAATCCTGCGTCGGCGGCTGGGGTTGGGAAGGCGATTTTGAAAGCTTTGGGGTTGTAGTTAGGGTACATGTTACTTGTTTGCTGTTATAATAATATTCTGGGTCTGATATACTTGAGATAAGTTTCATATTGCATAGTACTTTGAAATCAAAAGCACAAAGCGATTCAATATTGGTAGCGAAACCAGAATCGATAGCAGTAGCGAAAGGGGAATAGAGCAAGACACACACAAAAAAAAACACAGATAGCCCAAATTTGATAGATGGGTGAAGGAAATAAAGCAAGACAGATTTGTCCAGTCGAGAGACCGCAGACCGGGGGCCAGAAAACATTTGAAAGAAAAGAAAAATAAACAGATGTCGCAACCAAAAAAAAAAAAAAGCCATTAATCGTATCGCAGTATTCGTCGGTCTGTTCATCTCCATCTGGAGATGTGGACCTTGTTCGGTCATCAGACTGCGCTTAAGCAAACACGACTAATGTCTGGTCGGGAGAAGGGTATACAATTAACAAAAGATACATCCTGGGTCATCACGAGCGAATAGAGAGCCAGGGGGGAATGATCAGGAAAACCGGACAAAGGAAAGCGGAAAACTGGTATGGGACATCACAGGCTAGCGTCTTTGTCCATCCTCGACGTTGCCGGTCAACTCGGCCACTCGGGCCTTGATGCGGGCGACACGGGCTTCGATGGCTGTAAAGACAATTGTTAGTGTGGAGTCAGTTTGGGGAATGAAGGTACTACTCACTTTCTTCTCCACTGGTATCTCCCTCGTCAGTGCGTTCTGACTGGCTAGTCCGGGTGTTCTCGGCCTCGTGCTCGTGCGCCTGTTCCTCCTGGGCGGCGGCAGCACGTTGGGCGGCAGCCTCACGAATCGCCTTCCAGCGATCCTGCGTAGCTTCGGTTGACTCGGGCGAAGTGGCGGTCTCAGGGCGGACACCATTGCCGTTGACTGGGGTCTGGGGAACTTCGGTCTTCTGTGCGGCAGGTGCGACGTCCACGGGAGAGGGAGAATCCTCGGGGACGAAGGCAGGCTGGTCAGTCAGAGGACCCTGATCGAACTTGGAGAACTCCTGATCGGCCGCATCGCGTTCATTGGTACCAACGCGTGAGAGGGCATCATACTCGACGGCGCGTCTGGTCTTGGGCGGCGCACCGTTCTCTTTCAGAGAGGTAGAGGGTTGAGTCGGGGTTGGGATTTTGGCTGCAGGTTCCTTGACAGTCGGTTCAACATGCTGGGGCGATGAGGGCGTTACAGCCTCAGCAGCCACGGGTGCAACGGCGACAGTGGTGGCCTTCGGGACAGGCTTCTTCTTCATGATAGTGGACTCCTGGGCTGCTTTCGTCCTAGCCTCAAGTGCCGCACGGGCAGCTGCCACATTGGAGATTTCCTTGGAATCACTGGTCTTCACGGGAGCCTGTTGCTGTTCGGGCTTCTTCTTGGCACTAAACATGGTTTTAAAGGCGGAATTGCCAGTCTTCTTCTTCAGCTTCTTGCCCGCCTCGTCCACGGAATCCCGACGCTCAGTGGGTTGTTCAACAACCGCAGGCTTTGTGGTGGGCTTCTCCTCTTCGGGTGTGGCGACATTGACAGGTTTAGTGGGCGCTTCTTTGGGAGAAGGGGGAAGAGGGGTGGCCACAGCAGCAGCAGCAGCTTCTTTGGGGAGTGGCGGGGGACCACTCTTTGCAGTGTTGGTTGGAAGAGGCGCCAATGGCGTGGCAGGCTTCTCCTCGGGATCCTTTGAAATCGGCTCGGGTGTGTCCTGGAGTTCTTCAATTTGACCAGTGCCAGCGCGGTTGTCGCTGAGATATGCCGCCCTGAAGGCACCCTTGTCGTAGTTCTTAGTCCACTTCATGGCCTGGGAGGCCTCGTTCATAATAGCAGGCTGAAGGGTCATGACAGAGTTGGTCTTGGAGTAACGGCTGTTATTCGGAGCGGCACGGTTCTCTGTCGCCTCCGCTTCTTGCTCGCGGTGCTTCTTTTGCAGAGCGGCTGCAGCTTCCTGGATCCGCTTGTGCTGGTCCGGTCCGATGCTGGTCTTGCTGTGCGGTGCCTGATTGTTGGGCCGCTTGTACGACTCTTCAATGGAGGAGGGCACCTTCTTGGCGGACGACTTGCGGCGATTGAGCTTTCCCTTACGGCTACCAAAGCTGAAGAATCGCTTCTTCTCGACAATCTGAGCACCAGCCTCAGGTTCTGGAGCAGCACCCTTGATCTGCTCTTCAAGGATCAACCATTTGGTATCCCGGATGCGGGTCTCCAGAAGCGCGCATCGACCAAACACAGCCTTGCGGGCGACCGGCTCATCACCAGACAAACTGCTGATCCAAACCCACCAGAACGAGTCGTCCATGTCTAGGGTGTTGATACTCGCCAACTCAGCAGGCTCGAGATCCGGCTCGAGATCCAAAGAGCGCTTGTGCGACTGAGAGCTCATGCCACGTACAGAGGCAATGGGAGGCAGAACCTTGTCAGGAGGCAAAAGTAGAGGGCCCACGTGGCCCTTCAATTTGTTTTCATCCGCGAATCCCGACGACATGAAGTCTGCCCATGAGGGGGTGGTAGGGCGGCCAAGGTCTCCTCCTCCGGACTGAGGAACTGATTGCAAGCCCCCGGCAGATCCACTCTTTGAGGTCCTTGCAGTCGCCGGTGGGCCATTTTCCTTAGCTTCATCCTCCGGATCAGAATCGATCGAACCACCGAATCCAATATCCTCGAAGCGAGACCAGGATGCATCCCGCAAACTGGTCGACTGCTTGGTGCTGGAGACGCTGGATTGGTTCGCAGATGAGATACACCCGAGAACACGGATACACTCGTCGGTCAATGCGCTGACAGGGTCTTCGTAGTTGGCAAACTCCTGCAGGTGCCAGTCGTCGTCGCGGTATTCAAAGTTCTTGGCGCGTCGCAACAAAGAAAATGGCGTCGGGGAAACATTCTCCACAATCATAACCACCTTGGTAGTCGTAACTTGCAGCAAAGTCGGGGTTTCAGGGGGGTATTCGGTCGCTTCAACGAGTGATTGAAGAGAAATGGGGAGTGATGAGATGCCGCTCACGCCGCGAGGGACATCGGGAGACAACGAACGAAGGTAGGCGAAGAACAAATGACTCGTAGCGTCGGCGGCACTAGTGATTGATGTTAGAATACCATCCGAAAGTATCAGATCAATGGAGGTCCATACACAGCCCAGTTTTTATAGGCGGCCTCGAAGCCATTGCCTGTATCGACGTGCTCAAAGGCCCACCATCCCGCGTATCGGGAAAGCTTGCGGCCTCCCAGTCCATTGGATTTTCCATGAGCCGCAACGGCAGCCAAAAGGTCGAAGAAGTCCAGAATAATATTGGTGCGTGCATCGGAATCGCCGCCAATCGGAATGAAAGTCGAGAAAGCGTCGCGGGCCATATCCGAATCTAATGTTTTATCAGCGCGTATGTTCCCCGCATTTCGTTCAATATCGCGTACCATGTTCGCCCATCTTGAAGGTCTCGTATGCCTCCCAAGTGACGACACCGCCAGGAAGTCTGCTCCAGCACCATTTCATCACACCACAAAGAACCTATGGAAACAAGGTTAGTCCCCTGATAACCCCTGGGAAAGACATTATCCCTCACCATCGGCTCCGTGAGCCGGAGCTCCTGCGACAAGGCATCTCCATTGACGGGCGAGCCCTTTTCGAAAGATTGATTAAAGTAATTGCGAATGAACGTGCGAGCTGCACTGGGGTCGGAGCTAGGACGGAACGGTAGGAGAAGGAATGGGGTGTCAAGAGCTGCAGCGAATGATCAGCAATCCGAACAATGGTTTCGTATCTCACGGTCAAGATATCAATCCACCTACCTCGGGCCTTGAGCTCATGCACACACCCTCGTACAAGGTCTTGGACTTCTTCCGGCGCGACCTCTGTCCGTTGCCACGCATCGGTCCATTTGGGTTTCGCAGGGGTCGGGTTCAGGGCTGTGGTAGGCTTGGCCTGCTTCTTTGTCGCAGTGGCATCCTTGCCCCGAAACACCCGAGAAAAGAAGGACATATCGGAATTGCGACTGAAAATTGACGTTGTCAGAAATCGGACTGTGGGGATAGATTGAGGGTCCGCTTTTTTTTTTTTGCTTCTGTTTAGCAACAAATTAGCAGAGGTTTCCAAGGACGACAATGCAGACAACCGACACGATAATTAGACCGAGTGAATAGTTAAAACGTCTAGACGTGTCCGGGATGTCCTGCAGCCCCGGTAACAGCAGGACAGAGCAAAGGATCCCTGGTGTGGGATCTCTGTCTCAAAGTGGGAACCACACAAGAAAAGCCTCGGAAAAGAAAAGAAAAAGAAAGGGAAAAGGAGAGACGAGAAGTGAAGGGTTAGGAGTGAAGGAAAAAAACACGAAGCGATTCACAAGCTCAGGGGTAAACGAAACTAACTTACCCGCGAGTCTCGACTCCGTTAGATGCATCCACACAAAGGATTTCAACGTTTTTGTTATATTATTTCCTTAGGATTTCACTTGCAAGGGATTCTTAAGTGAATGATACAGATAACGATCATCTCTTTGATCTGGGTTTTAGGGATCCAAGGTTATGTGCATTTTGTATATGGACTTTTAGGGCTATTTTATTGGAGGAACTGTCATTTAGACGTGTCAATATATGTCTATAGTACCTGCCCAATCTAAGAGCCAATTGAGGGAGATTATAAAGAGTTGGTACTTGGTACCTACATATGTTTTAGGTTACATATATATCCAGTACGGAGTACATATAAATTGTTTGCGTTACTATGTCAACTTCAACTTAATCTGAGATGGTGGCTTTGTCAGATTATAAGATCTGGCGCTTTACTCTTTATAGGGAGACAGGGCAGGATACCTCTAGATTAGCCTGGGTAGCCTGGATAGCCTGGTCACCCTTGGTCTGGAAATATAAATCTGACATGCCTGTGGATCTTGTTCTACATATTAAATATCCGTGCCTGAGCTTTTCCCCGGGGTAACTAACATCAAGGGCTGAGATTATCAAAAGAGCAGCTGCAAATAACTCCGTCCAATAGGAACTAAAGGAGAGCACTCCACTGTGACAACCTGCAGGGACAAGAGTGCAGTAACATGATAAATATAGAATGATGAGTCAGCAACTAAATCTTCTCTCTGTCTTTCCCTCGATTCTATCTTTAGAATCAACCTTTCCTGCATCGTCAATCATCCTTTCTCCGCCATTTACTTCGTTGGCTTTGTCTTTCCCGCTATTTCCTAATATTTCATCCAATATTCTCGGGTTCACTACTGTTTGAACGCCGGGGGGTCATTGTTTCCCAAGTCGTGTCCAGCCCCCCCCCCCCTCTTCAAGTGTCTACAGGGTTTCTTACCTTCAAAGCCCTTTTCTGGGTTCAAATACCTTTGTTGAACTAGTCCTATCCTACAGATAATCTCGTCAAAAGACGAAGATTCTCCACATATACTCGTGTGCCACTGCGTGGCTACGATCGCCATCGCGTCGATTCTACATCCTGGGTAATTAAAATATAATCGCGCAAGGTATCTCGCAAGTCGCTCCGCGGCTTGCTGTACCATTTATTCTCAATCTTGCTATCGGTGCGCAATTGATGCGCCCATAGCCGCCCATCATGGGTCGGAGAAAGATTGAGATCAAGGCCATCAAGGATGACCGCAATCGCTCAGTGTAAGTTGATCATCCCATTTGATATCATTCTAGTCGCTGATCGCAGCTTCAACTACAGCACGTTCCTGAAACGAAAGGGAGGTCTGTTCAAGAAGGCTCATGAGCTTGCTGTCCTCTGCTCCGTTGACGTAGCTGTCATCATTTTTGGCCACAACAAGAAACTATACGAGTACTCATCATGTGACATGCATGATGCCCTTGGTCGCTATCAATATGTGGGTAGAAGCTTCTTTGATTTCATCCCGAAAACCTCTAACCTGTAATTTTTCAGTTTGGCCCCCCCCCACGAGCATAAAGGTCCGGAAGATTTCGCGGGTAAGCGAGACGACGACGACGAGGAAGATGAGGTTTCACCGGCTCCCGAGGACATCCAAGCAGTTCAACAGAACCACCCCGCCATTCCCCCTCACCTCCAAAACCAGCCCGCCTTCCAGCACATAAATCATGCACCCTCCGCGTCACCCCCGATCCATGCTATGACACGTCATGGCACACCGCAACCACAGGGCACTTCGCGTCCCTCGTCAAGGAATCATGTTCGCCGAGTCAGCTCAAATTTAGGTCCCCAGCATCATGGTACACCGCCGCCCCCTGGTCCCCAAAATGGCGGGTTTACGTACATGCAGAATCCGTCTATGTACAACCCGAATGTTCATCCAATGAACCAGCAGCCTCGACCGGGACAGTTTACGCACTATGGACACCCACCGGGGCAACACCAAGGGACGCCTCCTATGCACCCTCACAGTTTGCCGCCACAGCAAATGCCGCCACAGCACCAGGCACAGCAGCAGACACAGCATCAGACACAGCACCAGGGCCAACAGCATTTCCAACAACACGGCCATGCCGTAGGAATGCCTCCGGGGCACCAGCATGTGCAGGCATATATGCAGGAACATGGGAGAAATTCGATGCCTCCAGGGTTCGCACCTGACGGTCACCAAGAACGGACTGCCTCGGAGCACCCCCAGGATGATTCCTCGGGTGCAATGAAAGCAGAGCACAGCCAATCGCCGCCGCAAATGAAGTCGTTATCTAAATCACGGAGTATTTTCACGCCTATTGATGACCGAGGATCAGTGCTCGCCCGTTTCGGGCCTGGAATGGGATCATATGAATCTCACAATAACCATTCTCTCAAGCTTGAAGCATTACCACAAGCCTCGCCTGGTTCCAAATCAATACCGGTTAGAGCTGCGACAGAGGCTCCTCGTGGAGGGCAAGTCGCTTCGACGCCAAAAATCAAACCACCATCCCGAACTAACAGTGGACCGTTGCCGTCAAAACGACCGCAGTTGAAGGTGCAGATTCCTAGCGAAACCTCCGATGGTGGCAGTGCCACGGCCGACTCGTCCCGTGATTCTACTGGGAATAAAACCTCGACGCCTGCAAAAGGAAGTGCCGAAACTGGACTCCCGGGCGTGGTCTTACCCCCTCCGTCGCCATCTGCCGGTGCAATACTGAGTGCGGGTGCGCAAGGGCCTCCAAATCCGTTTGCGCGACCGCCTCCACCCGTTTCCACAACGCGAAACGACTCTTACGGCAGTAATAGTGGGAATCAGAACAATGGGAATAACTCGAATAACATTGAAACGCCCATATCCGCCCTGCCGAGTCGCTTTGTATCCGATGCACTCCTCCCGTCACCTTCCAGCTTCTTCCCCGAATGGGGCTTCAGCCGCTCCGGCCCAGACTCCAACATGCTGCCCAGTCCCCTCACCTTCCCGACTCCGGCAGTGCAAAGCGGTCCCAGCTTTTCTCGAGAAGACGAACAAGACAAGAAGAGAAAAAGCCCCGACGGTGGATCCGCAGGGGAAGGTACACATAAAAAACCGAAAACATGAATGATGCTTGGCTTCCCTGGGGAAATTGTCCCCATACTGTAAAGTGCTGGCATTTTGATCAACTGTCCCCGTGGACATACAATCTCACTTTCTTGTCAATACCCCATAACTCTTTTTTGCCCCGGGGGCATTTGAATGTCTCAATTTCTAGTTCGATCAAGCTTCGCAGTCACGTATCCTCTCTATACCCCGGTTTTTGTCATTCTTTTTCTTTCGCCAATTTCCTTTTTTTCCTTTTTCCCTTTTCAATGATGTTTTCTCACGTGGATCTTGAAGTGATATACCTGCTATCTTGTGTCAACTTCTACCTTCATTTATTTCTTATCTCTGATCATTTAATGTCGCGTTGGTAGAGACCTGGCATTAGGTCTGACTGCTTTGATTCTTGGATGTATATAAAGCAGGTTCTTGTTTCTAGGAATGATGCCAATCTTTTTTTTTTCCTGCCATCGATTCCAATTCTAGACTAGACCATACCAACTTCGGTGTTCGATCGGATCAAACACCGAAAGGATCGAGTATAAAAGCTGACGCTAACCCCGCTTTCTCTTTGATTCCCCCAAGGTGCACCTCTTTGCATATACTATCTCAATTCAAAATGACTTTCACTGGAAGCTGCATGTGCGGCGGCGTTACTTACGCCGTCGAAGGTACATTGATCGAACCCATATACTTCCAAAGCTAACAACATCCTAGCCGACACGTATATGGCCGCTCTGTGCCACTGCACCGACTGCCAGAAGGTAAACCCAAGCCTTATCTATACCAATGAAACATTGAACATAATTTCTAAAACCAAATAGTGGTCCGGCGGCGCATTTACCTCCAACGCAGTCGTCCCACGAACCAGCATGAAAGTGACAAAGGGTAAGTCTACACGCACCACGATCAATTTCTTTTTCTGACTCTGTCTATCTTCTACAAAGGCACTCCCAATTCATACGATGGAGTTGGAAACAGTGGAAAGATCAATAAGCACTTCTTCTGTCCGACCTGCGGCTCAAGTCTCTACACAGAATTGGAAATCATGCCCGATATGACCTGCATCAAGGCTGGAACTCTTGATGGAGGCGAGGCTAATCTTAAGGGAAAGGTTGATGTCGAGTTCTATGTTAAGGATCGTCCGGCTTATCTTGCTGCTGTTGAGGGTGCTAAGCAGGAGCAATTGCTTGGTTGAGGGTTGGACGGTTGGAATTGGTATTAATTCGAGAATAATCAATTCAAACAAATATTGATCATCCATATGCCTCCTTGAGACTCTGAAAGTCCCCAATGTTTGTTCCATCACCCGGTGTCCTGAGGACTATCTAAACCCTCGAATTACCATTTCCATCCTCTTCCTCTTCCATTCCCCATCAAACAACCATCATGTCTTCCCTCAACATCACCCTCAAGAGGTCACTCCCCCAGATGTCGCTTCCCAGAACGAGCCATGGTCTATATCACCATAGAATCAACAGGTGAGTCCGAAAATACCGTCTTGCCCGGAGTCAACGGGACCGCCAGCGGCCTTCGACACTTCCTGGAACCCCTATGTCCCAGCGAAGAACACGAAACTACCCAAGCCGAAGCCGCAGTATCAGGTTTCTCCTCTAACCCCATCCTCATCGTATCCAAGAACCCTAATACAGCAGACGCGAGGGGAAACCGCCTCGGTCGACTCCGCATTTACAACACCGTCATCACGATCTTCGCCATCTTCTGTGATTTCAACGAGCTGTAAAATTTTACTGTGAGGGTCGATGAATACACAAACGCGAAACTGAATAATGTCAACTGGTTCCTAACTAATGCTACTAAGCAGAAGACAGGTGGGGAGTCGCGTAATGAGGCTGTGCTTGATGCGGTTATGGAGGCGAATCAGTACGCAAAGGCTGCTGGGTCTGAGAGGGCTACACCGGACCTCAGATGAATGCTTCGGGATATCAGCAGAGGCCGATCTATCGTCATTCTAGTGGGGTTAGTTTGACGCCTCAGGATATTGTGCTAAATTGCTGTGTGGAGGTTGCTTTTGAATGTGTGGGTGATACTTAGGCTATGGGTCGATCTGTGTTATTAGTCCAAATGCCGTGTCCGTAGTTCTCATGAATATTTCCGAACCATGGCCTTTGTAGTTCGGTGTTTGGCTTTTGATGCGGGGAGATGGGACTGCGTACGGGATATCTCCACGAAGCTTGGCAGTTGACGTCAAGGAAGAAAAAAAAAAAAAGGCTGGAAGTGGGATGGATAAGATTTAGCTGGAAGTAGAATAAAAAGAGACTTCATGCTTTACACTATGAATATCAACTCTGCTAAAATCTTGACTCCCGCTGTCACCGCCCACACCCTTCGGGGTATATAACTCAGAGTTACCATTTGCCGAAACCGGTAGGAACCGGCCGTGTGGAGATTTAAAGAACTTATCATCCTACCAACTACGATCACCCCATTATCTACACCCCAAGTGGCCTCGTGTTTTCAACCTGTGAAAACCTTTCCACCAAAATGACTCACTCAGTTCTCTCCCGCCGCGCACAAGATGTCGTAGATGCCGGATCCGAGAACCCCATGTGGGATGTGATGAAGGATACATGGGACGCATCGTCAAACCCCAATGGATACGTCAATGTGGGCGTAGCAGAGAACACACTGATGCACCACGAGCTCTTAAAATTCATCAACAAGAAGCTCGACCTCCCCGCAAAGTATCTCACATACAACGACGGCGGATGCGGTTCTTCCAGATTAAAAGCCGCTATTGCTGGCTTCTTGAATCACAATCTGAAGCCAGTCACGCCTCTCGAGCCTAGCCATATCATGGCGACCAACGGTGTCTCGTCTGCGGTTGAGCATGTTGTATGGTCATTTGCAGATCAGGGGGAGGGAATTCTTCTAGGAAGACCGTACTACGGCATGTTCATTCCTGACATCTCGCTTCGCTCGGGGAGTTGTGTGGTTCCTGTTAGTTTTGGCGAACAGGATCCTCTCAGCCTCGAGGGTGTGGATAAGTACGAAGAAGCATTGCTGGACTTTCACCGAAGAACCGGCAAGAAAGTCAAGGCTTTGATGCTTGCTCATCCTCACAATCCGCTTGGACGATGCTATTCCCGAGAAGTGCTTGTCAAGTTGATGCGGCTGTGCCAGAAATACCAGATTCATCTCATCAGTGATGAAATCTATGCTCTTTCCATCTTTGAAAATACTGTCGATGAACATCCCGCACCTGTCAAATTCGAATCCGCCCTCTCTATCGATCTGACTGGCATTATCGACCCGAGATTGGTTCATGTTCTTTGGGGTATGAGCAAAGACTTTGGCGCAAACGGTATCCGACTAGGCGTCATCATTTCCCAGGCCAATCGCGATGTTCATATGGCGTTGGCCGGGCCCGCGCTTTATTCTTATGCTTCTGGACTCACGGATTACTTGACTACTCTCTTGCTTGAAGACTTCGACTTTACCAATCGGTATATTCAGCAAAATCAGAAGTTGCTGTCAGAGTCCTATGCTTACACGGCGAACTACCTGAAAGACCACGGAATCGAATATGCAACAGGATGCAATGCTGCATTCTTCGTCTGGATGAATCTGGGAAAGAGATACCGCGAGCTTCACCCGGAGGATGAGTGTGAGGTTGTCGGGGAACGAGTCATGCAGCGCCTTTTGCAAAAGAAAGTCTTTTTAGCCAGCGGCTTTCTGTTTGGGTCAGAGAAGGATGGGTGGTTCCGAATTGTGTTTACACAGGGTCATGAATATTTGAGCGTGGCTTTAGAACGGATAATCGCAGCAATTGAGGAATAGGATAGTCTCATGTCATCACCACAAAACAATCATGCATCAGTTCAGATTTGGGCTTGTTGATTCGCGTGCTAGATCAAACCTCGGCACTCTTCTTAGCTAACATCTCTATAATCTCTGTCTCGCCTACTTCAGTTGCCGCCTCGAGCGCAGTGTCATAAAGTTCCCTTTTCATGGTGGCATCGGCTCCATGATCGAGTAGCAATGCAACAATTTCTCGATGACCATTTCGTGCAGCCATCTGAAGCGCTGTGCTCTGCTCTCCGCCTTGCAAATTGACATCACCTCTGTTCTCGGGGAACAATTCGACAATAACTTGATATCCAGAGAATGACGCGTCCTCGATTGCTGTACCATATTCGCCTCTGATGTTAGGATCGGCTCCAAGCAACAGTCAGGGTCAACAAGGTTCTCTAGCACACAAAGTACAATTTGCGATTGGTCGATATCATCGCATGTATTTGGTGGGTTGAACTTCATGCATGCTTTGTGGGGCGCCAAATTGTAAAATTCGTGTTTGACGTCGACGGCCCCGTTCTTGAGGAGGACTTTGACGATTATGGCTACCTCCACGACCTTCTTGCCTACAGTAGACACCTGCCCCCTTTCAAGGAGGGCAAGCACAACATCTAGGTAGTTGCAAGATGAGGCTATGAAAAGCGCCGTCCCGCACTGTTGGCATCGGTGCCGTTTTCGAGTAGGATAGGAACAATATCCGGGTGACCTAGGGGCAGAGCTATATTAAGAGCCCTGCCATAATGTACGTGACTGTAGGTACAATTGGCACCTTTGTTCAATAGTAGCGTGACGACATCTGATTGGCCTGCAAAGCATGCCGCGGAAAATGCCGAGAATGTACACTCGTCTCCAGTGCTGACGTCAATATGTTCCTCTGGCAAGTTGCTCCAATGTAGGTCCATTGGGGTCATTTTCGTCATTTTCGTCAAACCCATTATCGTCCCAAAAGTCCATGTCCACAGGGTCGCGGAAATCAAGGGGGATAAGAAATAGAAACAATTTCTTGACATAGTTCTGAACTCTTTAGACATGCTCAAGCGCCTTTACCATGTATCTCGACCGGAAAGGTCAATGAGGAACTCCCTTGCCGTTCGATGAATGAGGGAACAGCTTCGAATCATGAATGCTGAAGAAGAGGCCGCTTAAACCTTTGACAACGCTTTCGAAATTATTCCTAGGCCATAGATCCTGCAAGGTTGCGTACGATGTGAAACTTTCTTCTGCTAAACCAAATGTCAAAACTAGAATCCGAGTGGTGGCTGGTAGATACAGGGAGGAAGAATGCAACAGTAATGTCCTCAGATGGCCCCATTTTGGACGCCCAATGATTGGCGTAGGACTAGATTGGCCTGGCGTTTGACATTACCGCTCCCTGTCAAGATTGAGACATCGATTGGATGTACAATGTAGCCACATTGGGAGCAATCTGCAAGACATTGTAGCCCTTCTGGTGAGAGATCAAGAGCAAAGAAGAGCATCTCGGGCGCCTAGCCTTTCCACCCACAGATCGCTCAAGACTAATTGAACGTAACAAAACCCGGAGAATTCAAAAAATCATCTTCCTTTTTCCATCATAATAATCTTGAATAATGGCAAGTGTTACTGCTTCACAATTAAGGCGCTTGAATGCTCTCTAGCGCTCGGAGCGGGATGCATCTGGCAAACGCAACCACTGCCATTTCGCCGTGAAGGCTCTTCTCGGAGTCCCAGGCGAAGCTGTATTCCTCGCAAACCCATACAACAACCGCCATGAGTGCGAGAGCCGGTCTCAAATTTCCCGTCTCTCACCAGACGCTCAGGCCAAACTTATTGTGCCTTTGCTACTGGAGGCATTCATCAACCGTACGACGAGCCGGGCGTAATTCACCAGATGGGCAGCAACACGGAACCATTCGCGCCGTTTACTTAGAGCACCACCGACGAGAGCCTTGCGCAGGCTGTGTCCCGCAGGTGCCAGGAAATTGGCATCAGACGCGAGCTTTGTGATGTTGCCGTCACTACCGCTGAAGAGCTTCGCAGTGCCGAGGCGTGCTGGAGTCGATGGAGCAAGGCATTAGTGGAAGCAATGGCTGTGCTTAATATCTCGGATGACGGTGTCGAGAATGTCGAGATGGTCTGCATGAATTGTGGGTTTACTCTGTCGATGGATAAGCCCCTGCAGCCGTGTTCTCGGTGCTTGCAAGTCTCGTATTGCTCGAGGGAATGTCAAACCGTGGACGCTAAGGGTCACAGTCCGGAATGTGTGTCTGGTATTGATTGATTTTCATGACTCCTTGATCTCTTTTTCCTCTTAACATGCCTCTACGGTATTTGGAACCAATTCGTTTGGTATCCTATGTGGCGCGGCGAAAGGAGCTCATCTCTTGGCTCTATTTTGGTATTTTTGTAGTACAAGTTTTCTTGAATAGAATAGAATAGTTTATCTTATGTGATTATACCAATAATGTTGTCAAAAATACGAAGAAATAAGCCATCCAAGCCATCAGAGTGTTGTATACTGCACGAAATGAAAAATCGCCAAGCCTCGGGTTCGTAAACGGTAAGGTAAAATCTCTGGGATGCAGAGGCCCATGTTTCCGTTAAACCCAAAATTCTAGGCCGGTGAGTATAGGTAGAGGACGACAGCAGCGTATCCAGCGGCACTGTTACTGTTGTGCTTGGCAAACATGGCACTTCCAACAGTGATGGAAATGTCAATGGCCCACATGGCGACCAGGGACCGCAAGAAATGTTGCGTCGGCCTAGTTTCTGGGGAAGGGTTGCAAAGTAAAGAGCCAAGACCCATGATAACATTTGCAATGTGGCATTGATGATTGTCTGCTGGAGGTCTGGCTTTAGGTCGACAGGCGCGAGAATGGGTGACAGGAAAGGGAGGAATAAATTCCACCCAATTCACACTGACCGGGTTGGAAGGCAAGAAAGTCAAGACTCCGTATGACTGGATCGTCTACTCCATAGCGAGGCAATGACTATCCCCGCGCGAGCCGATCTGTCTTACGCAAATCGGGAATCTGAACTTACTATTGGAAGTACGGGCCCTTGTCTTTATGGGCAATATGATCACTCATGGAGCTCTGGATTTCTTTCACATGCCAGGACTTTTAGAGTGCTAACATGTTCTATTAGGGCAACATTTTTCAAACGCTGATTGTACCATGCTTGGAGAGGAGTTCTAGCGGTTCCATGTAGCACGTGGGGAGGTAACCTTGACCTTGACAGCATCTGCAGCACTGCCAGTATACCTGTGATTCTTGGACGACAAATTACTGTATCCGCGTAGTATCTCATATCTCACCAATAATACATATTTAGTTTCCCAGACCAGCAAAGCTTTTGTCACTATAAAAAGGCGCGTGGGCAGCTGTGGCAGACTTTAATGGGCCATCAATTAGAGCATATATTACACAGATGACTTAAGAAAGTCTCTACCTATTAGCTTTATTGCAATGGAGTTACTGGTGGAATGACTGCGTTTGAACGACGGTACATTTTTAGTGTCATATTTTCTACGTTACCTCACTACGCGAGGCTCCTAAAAATTTGAAAGACAAAAATACACTCACAATTCAAGTTTTCTTATGTGGACCAGAGAAGTTAATACCGTGATGCCTGATGATCGGGGAGAAAACTAGGGCTGGCATCGCACGTGACCGCTCCATCTCCGATGACTGCTCTAACCAACTAAGTTATGGAACTGCTGATTAGTTAACTATTGGTTGATTTATAACTATCCATTAAACTCTTGAGCTCTCCTCCAAGGATTAAGGCAGTTTTAGGACATTTAAACAGATTTACATGTATAAGAATGGAAATTAAAGATTTAAGAATATAAAGTAATCAGTTTTTATTTCATTTATCGTAGGAATATCATTATCATGTCTCAAAAAGTTCCCATAGTGGGCCCGAGAACTAAACTCAACTCCCTATGCACGGGAGGATGTAAATGCAAAGAGTACTTTTTGTACCATCTCTTGGAAAAAGAAAAAAAAAAATCAAACCGCTTGAAGAACAGAGACGAAAAACAGGGGAAAGCAGAGAGGTATCACGTAAGGCGCCGAGGGGTATGCAGAAAGGAGTCAGAGGAAAGATCAGACAACAGGCGTCAACTGAGTGTGCAAAGCCTGTGAGAGGGCCTCCTCTTGACGCTTGAGCTCCATCTCCATCAAGTACTGGGCATATTTGGACCGAGGGTTGTGAATACCACACTCGGTCTTTTGCTGTCCCTTCCAGCGACCAGCGCGCTCGTCCTCTCCATCGGCAACGGGCTGGGTGGAGTGCCAGTCACCAATGCTTTTGTAACCACGGTCGAGGAGCTCATTGTAGGGCACATCGTTCTCCTGGACGTACTGCTTGACCTGGTTGAAGGACCAGTTGGCCATGGGGTTGATCTTGATGAGGCCGGCCTCGTCAACCTCAATGATGTCAAGGTCACCACGCTTGCCACCTTGGCTGCGGCGGCGGCCAGTGAGAACGGCGTGGACATTCATCTCACGGTAGGCACGCTGAGCGGGCTCAACCTTGGCAACCCAGTCGTAGAGCTGGTCATCGACCTCCCAGAGCTTGGTGCCGTACTTGGCTTCGAATTCGGTAGTGGTGTCGACGCCAGCAGGCTTGTAGATATGCACATTGTTGTTGGGGTACTTGCGACGCACACGGTCGACCAGGGACATTGTCTCATCGAAGTGATAGAGAGTGTCAAGGAAGATGAGGTCAACCATCTGGGGACGAGGCACCTCGAGTTTCGATAGCATATCCAAAGTGACAAGACCTGTAAGACCGAAGGCAGTGGTCTGGAAGAGATGAGGAAGCGAAGTAATGCACCATCTCAAGATCTCTATAAGAAGGAGTCAGATAAAAGGGTCTTCGAAAAGAGGGGTTATGATTGATATGAGTACGAACCTTGGGGTTCAAGGAATTGCAACTGGCGGTTGAGGAACTGAAGATGGGGCTTGGTAAAGACAATCTCGGGAACGTAGTCCTCACTAGATCCAGAGCCAGCACTGACATAGCCTGACTCGGTCATGCCATCGTGGTTGTCAATGCCCTCCATCTCTGAAGAGTAGTTTGTGGGCATCTTGGCCGGCATAATGTAAATAGCACAGAGTAACTTTAGAAGACAAAGAAGAAAGAATTTTATGTTTGAGTGTATGAAGATGTCGAGGAGTATGAAGAACAAAGTCACTCTGGGGGCAGGAATATAAGAACACCAGAGGCAATCACATCATCCGGAGGTCCGTCCCTGGCATCCTCTTGATCCGATATTCTTCATTTCAAAGATTCAAAGATGCAATTGGTCAGTGGCCAGAGTGGAGAATGAAAACCACCCAAGCACGCCATCGACCGACGATTGCGTGCTTGAATGCTCGACCCTCACCGCCTTCCTAGAACGGAGACATTATCGTCCCAATAAGGCGGTGAGACCATATGAGGCGCAGAGTCAGACTGGCAGAATGTCAAAGTCGATTCTGCCATGGAGGGAATGGCGTAGAATGTCTTTTAGGTTGTAGCTTAGTGATTCCAACACTGGGGTGTTACCCCCAGACATTGGTAATTGGCGCTGACCAACCCAGTCGATGATAAATAACCATCAGGAGTATTCCTGGTTCCTAAAATATAATGTTAGCAGGTTGCTTAATCACCAATAAGCCCGGGCATACCTAATGGGAAATCGTGATTATCATACTATGTATAACATATATTGGGCAATTTATTATGTCCATAAATAGAATGATCCGACTTTGAAGTCATGGTGGATCTGGATGAGATGCCTATCCCAAATTGAACTCATCTTATTCCAGCCCTGAGGTCCACCACCTCATTGTCAATTCTGCCAGGCGGTAACGCACGTGAGAGGGGAGGGGCTATCACGTGAGTCTTTGGTGGGGACCGAATCCACGTGCCGATCGGCGCGAGTCGTTTTTGATCTTCGAAGTGTGGAATCTCTCAAGATAGCCTCAAACCGCAAATAACTCTTTACTAGATCCCTTCACCAGTAGTGCATTATGGCAGATTCTACCCGTCCCACGAGGCCATCCCTCGGTCAAATGCGCAGCAGCTCATTCCTGCAGGACCACCAGCAGTACAAGCCAATGGCTCCAATCAATCCAATCACTCAGACCATCGGCGAGGTTCTGTCTACCCAGATGGACGATCAACTGGTACTTAGCTCGAATCCAATCAAGCCAGATCCGGAGAGAGTCACCGACAGCGGCATCATTCACAGCATCTTCAACCACCACGCAAATCCTCTTCCCACCGGCACATCACAAATCGTCGCGACCATCTACTACAAATCTAACAACCCCGTTCACCCCCACTACCACCCCGATTCGGGGCTCCAAAATGCTCCAGGCGACAAGCTCCCAACTCCCAAGGTTCCCGAAGGCTCTGCCCCGACAGAAGACATGGATAAGTTCCCGCGGGAGCCACCTGCCCCGGAGCCGGAACCACTTGATCACCTCTACGGGCCATATGTCTCTCAGCTGTGCTTGACCAACTTCCTTCAGATCTTGGAGACCCTCCCCACTCCCTATCAGCGCATGAACACTTCGCACCGCTGTCTTGATCGCGACGAACACCCCCGTGTTGTGGAGGTCACATTTTCTCCCCCGCCGAACCCGGACTATCTCTCGTTCCCAGATCTGCGTAAGCATGAGAGCATCTGGCGCTTTGAGCGCGAGTGGAACGTCGAGGTTGTCCTGCAAAAGGAGAGCGTCTTCCGTCGCCACAAGCGCTTGGCTGTGTTCGACATGGATAGCACCTTGATCGACAATGAGTGCATCGACGAAATCGCCAAGTTCATTGGTGTCGAGAAGGAGGTGTCCGTAAGTTTTCCCCTTGTCAAGGCTTCAAGTTTCTATGCCAATGACTAACATCAACGCAGGAAATTACTGAACGTGCCATGAACGGCGAACTGGACTTTGCCGCGTCACTGAAGGAACGTGTCGGTCTTCTGAACGGTGTCACCGCAGATGTCTTCGAGAAGCTCAAGTCCGTCCTGAAAATCGCCAAGGGCGCCCGTGAGCTCTGCCGCGCATTGAAGAATCTGGGCTACAAGCTCGCGGTGGTGAGCGGCGGATTCCAGCCCCTCGCCGAGTGGCTCGCCGAGCAGCTCGGTATCGATATTGCCATTGCCAACCACGTAAGCCTCTCCTGTTTCTTATTCTTTTCATTTCATCCGATCTAACCTTTCCACCAGCTCGAAATCGACGAGGCCACCCAAACCCTGACTGGAAAACTGGTGCCTTCCTACCCCATCGTCGACGCCGCGCACAAGCGCACTCTCCTCAAGTCCATCGCCGCCGAGCACGGCATTCCCCTCTCGCAAACAATGGCCGTCGGTGATGGCGCCAACGATCTTCTCATGCTCCACGCTGCAGGCCTCGGCGTCGCCTGGCGCGCCAAGTCCAAGGTCCAGTTGGAAGCTCCCGTCCGGATCAACGGCGAGAGTCTTGTCGATATCCTCTACCTGCTCGGCATGGACAACGAGGACATCGCCGAGCTGACCTCCGACGCGCAATAAGCCCTTGAGTAGCTAAATGAGCGATGTGCCACTTTCAGTAGAGCATACACTTGTATGCTGGCGAATCCCCTTTAGTCTAACTTTTTGGATACATTATACCCCCCAGAAAGTTTAGCATGAAACGGCGTTCACAGCTGGTTGCTGGTCTCGACTTGGAGATTTCCTTTTGCTGAAGAGTTGTGGAGTTTATGTCGGTCCTTACCTTTAGCAGAGTCCGCGGGTGTGATGGACAGGTGTTGCACGATACGTAGTGCGGAGCATAGAATTTTTGTATAGCGTGTGATTTTTGTCCCTGTTCCTACCTGCGGCGGGTTCCTTTCGCCTTGAGGGCGAGATGTAGTGGATTGGGGGACGGAGCAGGCTCAGACCATGATCTATGACATTTTGATTGATATAAGAGAAGTAGCACTGAGTTGATTTCTAGTGCAGCTTGAAATTAGGAACAGACAGAAATATGCCTCGAATGACTTCTCCAATGGTGATACAAAGTACAATTCGTGTTGAAATGTTGAACTGTTGAAATGACAAACCAGCGAAAAATCCCCTTATATGAAAAACCCAAACCCGACAGCCCAGAAAGATGCAAGAAAGATAGCGCCAAGAGACATTTGCATGGAGTCAGAAGACAAGAAGACACCGGCAGAGATAAACAGGTTTATTTAGGTAGTTGATTCGGATTTTTGTTCAAATGCAAGACACCTCACCGGGTAGCCTCGTCAGTGGTAGCGGCGCTCTGATCGATAGTGCGCTCAGCGGTACCAGAGCCACCACGACGCTTCTTAAGAACGTTCTCGATGAACGCCTCACCGGCCTTGTAACTGCTTCGCACCAAGGGGCCAGAGGCACAGTACAAGAAGCCCATATCAAGGGCACGCTGGCGCCACAGCTCGAAGCGATCAGGGGTGACGTATTCATGGACAGCCATGTGGCGCTTGGTAGGGCGCATGTATTGACCGAAGGTGACGACATCAACATTGACAGCGCGGAGCTGGCGCAGGGCATCCCAGAGCTGGTCATCAGTCTCGCCAAGACCGAGCATGAGCGAAGTCTTCGTGACAAGATCCGGAACAGCCTTTTTCGCAGCATCAAGCACACGAATAGACTGCTGGAAAGTGGCGCGACGATCACGGACAAAGGGCGTAAGCTCCTCGACAGTCTCAACGTTGTGCGCATAGACATCCAGTCCAGACCGGGCAACCAATGCCGCCATCTCCGTGTCACCACGGAAGTCGCCGGTCAAACACTCGACCAGCATGCTGGGCTTCTTTTGCTTGATTTTGATGACCGTCTCGGCGAAGTGGCGCGCGCCGCCGTCCACCAGGTCGTCGCGATCCACGCTCGTCAGCACAACGTACCCCAAGCTCCAGCGGGAGATGGCCTCGGCGGTGTTCTCGGGTTCGTGCGGGTCGAGCGGGGCAGGAGTGCGGGACGTCTTGACGCTGCAGAAGCGACATCCGCGCGTGCAGGTATCGCCCATCAACATGATTGTCGCCGTGGCGGAGGCCTTGTCGCTGCCACCCCAGCAGTCAGAGATGTTGGGGCACCGGGCCTCCTCGCAGACGGTGTGCAGGTTCAATCCTCTCAGATCCTTCTTAAGGCGCTGGAAGTTCTTTGAGTCTGGGATAGGAGTCTTCAGCCATTCGGGCAGACGAGTCATTTCCTTCTTGCGGCCGGCGGGGCCGACGAGCGCGGTCTTAAGGGCGTAGGCTTCGGATGGGTCGAGGATTTCATCTTGACCTCCGGAGACAAAGTCTGAGAATGAGGGTCCTGCATTCAGCTTATCCTGGAACTTTGTTGGTTTGCGCCGTGTGGTTCCTGGTGTGTTCGTAGCGGATGATGAGTCCGTGGTAGCATAGCTTCGGCGGCCGATGGGAGCAATTACTATTGAGGCTGGGGATATGGTTTTGAAAGACGACAGGCGTCGTAGACTTCTTGTTGGAGCTGACATGATGTGTGAGTATATGTGGAATTGGAGAAAGCCGAACTGGAGTTTGTCCGCCTGGTCAATCCTCAATCCCGCGGAAAAGTATGACTAAGCAATTTCGCCATCCGCCGGGCGTCAGATCGAGCGGGAAAGTCCACAATTGTGCATGATAAGGCAAGAATATGAGATTCAAAGTTGAAATAATGCTTATAGCACTATAAGAAATTCAGTTACAGGTGCGGCCTCTGTCCTTGGTGTTGTATTGAAGATGAAGGCTACGGTCTCGTTTTGTATGTCACTTTCCTCGGTTCTCATGGCGAGAAAGATGAAAAGGCATTAAAAAACATACGTGCTGACGACTGTTCTATGTATAACTAGGAGCTGAATTAGTAATTGATTATGCCATTATATTATGGATGCTATGGATGCTAGTTCAGGACTACATATGTAATTATAGATGCTCGACCCCCAACGCACAAATTTACCGACCGATGTTCCGAGGACCGCGCAATGCAAGGGTATGAAAGGAAATATAAAAAAACCAAAAGAAACCAAGAGAAATCAAGAGAAACCAAAACAGAGTAGAAAGAGGGCGGGAAGTGTAGACAAACATATAGGAGGAAGAGAAGTCAATGATTAGAGCAAGTGGTGATAGGGGGCACAGATATGAAATGAGATAACAAAGACAGTCGATAGGAAAGGTTGTTGAAGGGAGTGCAGGATAGAATTTCAGAGAAAGGAGATATGAAAACGAAGGATAGGGTTCAGTCAGATGTAGAGAGAGAATAGGATCAACGGAGGCAAGGAAATGTTCGATGCAAGGAGTGATCAATGCTAAGCATTGGTTTCAAGCACTTGGGCGAGAACTTCAACAGCCGATTTCAAAGTAGTATCTGATCGACCACATATGGCGAATAGGAGGTTGTCCACGGTTCGGTCGAGGTGTGCCTGGAGGTCCTTGCTGCGAGAGCTGAAGAGGTGGTCCTTAGGCTTGTTGGTAGATCCAGATGGAAGCTGGATGCCTAGTGTAGTAAATGCTTTTTTCGGAACACCATCGACAGCGTATGCGTCTTTGCGCGAAGAGACTGATGGCTTAGTTCGGTGGAGGCTTGGCAGGGAAAGGAGGTAGTTTCGAGCAAGGAGCGCAGCACAGAGACAGTCGAGTAGGTTCTCTGTAACGTCGGGGAATATAGTGCGGAAGGGCCTGATGAGGGTCTTCTCGTCGTTTTTGCGAAGAAAAACAATGACCGGAGATGCGAGCCTGAGCATATGACGAGGAAAATCTTTGACAGAGTGGTCCAACTCATCCAGGGTCCATTCATGGTCGTCCAGCGTCCAGTCATGTTGCCATAGCCGTGGTTTCTCATCCTCCTTTTCGGACATGATAGATGCCCGCCCTGGTGAATGAACTGGTGGTGATGAGGCCTTTGGGCTCACGCTGCCCGATCTGATCTCAGGTTGTGGGCTTACCTCGCGCTCTCCCTGCGCAGTTTCAGGCCTTTCGCCAATCACAGTTGATCCGACGCTGTCCGAAGAGGTCAATGACCCTGGGTCGGTGTATGCATCGTCGTCGTCATCATCACCTTTACTATCATCATAGCTATCGAAGGAATATCTGGACTCGCGACTTTCGTATCCACTATCAGACAGATTAAGTGGAGTGTCCGGGCTAAACGCCGATACTTCCTCTTGACGCTGATCTGGGGTCGTTGGTACCATCTGTGGCAGCAATGACGGCGGTGGAAGCAGTGGAAGCGATGGTGATGATTGTCGAGCGATGTCGACAAGCTTCGGTCTTGTCTTGCTAGCGACAGCAAATCTCTAGATGGGAGTCAGCTTTTAACAGCATCTCATAGTTAAAGCGGGTAACTTACCACAGGTTCTTCAAGGGATTTTGCTCCCGGAATAATATCCAATTTTGGCATTGGGGGGTCATTCTCAACGATCTGGAACTTGCGTCGATTGTTGAACTCCTTTGAGGATGAGTTCCTGTCATTCACCTTGTCAACGGGTACTCCTTGCAGCCATCTTTCGCAGTACGAGAAGTTGGTTGGCACCCAGCTAGCTTCACTGGACACTGTCCCAGTCCGGGGGCGTTGGGGTCTCGGTGAGCTCCCCGGAACAAGGAGTCTTTCGGTTTTCACTGACTGCGGGGTTCCAGGCTTCTTGGGAGATTGAGCTTTTGACTCCTGTGCATTGCTAGGCTCGCACTGGCGTACAAACTCTGAGTGAGCTTCATGAACATTCATGACATCTGTTCGCGGTTGATTCTTCCAAGCTGGGGGACGGTACGCTGTATACTGTATCCTTTCCCCAATTTCGAGCGTTGCGGGTGTTGTGGAACGACCCAGTCGAGGGGTGTCAGACTCGTCCTTCTTGGCCTTCCTGTCACCTGATGGACCTGATTCATCCGACGACTGGGAATCAAAGTAAGATAACTCTGGGCCCGCACTTGCAGGGCGCGATTCTGTTATAGGCGGGCTGGGTAGAAGACCGAATCCCTCCAGGCTGCCACAAGTCAGATTTTGGTCTGAGCGCCATGTTCGTAATGTGTGATCGGCAGGCACTTTTAACGGCCTGCTTGGCTTTTCAGGAAATATAGGAGCCGGGCCATCGAGAGACGCTGGGGAAGTCGGGAGCATTAATTGAAATGGTTCTTTCATTCTTCGAACCGAGCGGAAGGGCGACACGCATGCTGGGCCACGATCTGTGGGGCGCCGTGATATTGAGGTAGAAAGGTCCTGCGACTCTCTGCGCGGCATCATTGGTGACGTTACAAATGAGAGAGAGGGCATCTGTCTGCTTCGCCTTCGGGGTACATAGGTGGGAGACCATCGGCGCGGTGATGGGATAGGCTCGGCCATTGCCATCGAATCGTGGCTCATCGAGGACGAGTTCGAGCCCTGATTTTTTATATGTGTTTGGAATTGGGCCGGAAAACATGCATGGCTAGGCAACTCGCTCACACCAGAGTCCATATTGGACAATGCTATACACGGATGGAAGTAGTCCTGGTCTGAAAGGTCGAAGCAAAAAAGCAAAATATGTTGCACAAGAGTAACCCAGATGAGATTGGAATCCAGCTTGTTTATTGTTAAAGATTGAAGACAAAAACAAATGGATCTGAGTCCCTGCAGGGGCTCGATATATCCTTATACAGCGACGGTGGCGCTAGTAAGGTAATTTAAGGTGGGTATGGTGATCGGGCTGAAGTGTACATCCCTTGACAGGACAACAACCCTGCTATGAAAGCCGGAAAATGTTCAACGGGATGATTCCCCCTTCGGGCGTGAAAAAAGGATCCGTCGTCTAGCACGAACACTTCAAGTCAGGTTGTGCTCGGCACGGGCCAGGGTAATAATAGTGGGAATGAGGTCGCGTCGTCCTTGCATTCCAAAGAAGATGAGCAACCAGGACAACGACGGACAGCAATTGGCTCCAGATCTCAATCTGTAGTCATGCAGGAGCCCGTCAACGTGGAAAGACCCCATCCGTTGCCTCATCTCGTCATAGCGAAGTTCCGACTGGGCACCTGGAATGAGACATACGGGATGCAAGAGGGAGGGGGGAAAGGAAGCCATGGCGAATCAGGCCCTTGAGAAGGGCAACAGGATCAGCCAGAGGGTGTATTAAAGCGGGTCTTCATTGGACCTTGTGTCTCGTCGCGACAGCAATCCACCCCTTCTGACCTATCCCTTGCATATATCTGGTTCATACCGATGTTATTGTACATATCGGGCTAATTTCTGGAGGTTTGGATATAAATGCCTGATGAGGGCTTGGGTTTATCGCCCTCGGCACCCAATTTGAGTCGGTATACACCGATGAAACAGCCATCATTTCCATTGACAGACTGGCGCAAAATGATCCCTCATACTTGCCGAGCTCGGTTGGTCCCAGATGGCGCTTACTAAGAATGATAGATCGAACTGCCGACGCGTCTAATATAAAACACGGCACAGTTAGTTGATAGATGAATTCAAAACAATCGCTCTGTCTATTCAAAGATCGGGGATATCTTTAGAAGGTTGCATTAGTTAGAAAGGCAAATTGGTTAAGATAGATCACATACAGCCCCGTGGAAGTCGGCGATTAGGTCCAGTCCAAACAGTGCAAACATCTCGTTATCAATCGATTAAGAAAAAAAAAACCTCGGAAGGAATGGGCAACTTGAAACCAACCTCCCATAATTCGTATGACAACCTCATTCTTCCATTCCTAATGCTTTCCGAATCATTTGTGGCGTCGACGCTGTCATCCGCCAAATCCCCGACAGCCTCGCTCAGAGATGTAGGGGTCTGCGTCCACGAACTCCAGCCCACGTCGATACTGCGATCGACTTTTAAGAAGAGCTCAACTTTGACCAATTGTCTCGCTGTCAGCCCCTCGCATATTTTCACGGCCCAAGCAGACAAGGCTGTTATTCACGTGTACAACCGGGAGAAGGGTAATCAAGAGGGCATTGTTCCGTTTCCAGAGCGGATACGCAGCATTGCTGTCGCGGGGGGCAAGTATGGTGATGTCTTGGTGTTGGGCACCGAGGGTGGTCGATTAATTGTCTGGGAGGTATGTTGGATCTGATTGACACATTTCCCCATGTTGTGCGTCTAACGGCCTTTTTTTAAGACCTGCACAGGACGCCAAGTAGCCACAACGGCCTCCCATCTGCAACCAGTAACCTCACTCGTCGTCGACCCCACGTCCAACTTTATCCTGTCCGGCTCCGCTGATGCCAGTGTACATGTCTGGTCCTTGCCTGGCATCCTCTCGTTCTCGAAACCCGCTCTTAGCGCGACTCGCCAACCCACGAACTCGCCTATCCGAACTTTCTCTAACCACCGCGCAGCTATCACCTCTCTTGCTGTTGGACATAGCAATGGCCGCCATAACATTGTGGTATCAACCGCAAAGGACAACACTGCCATCGCATGGGACTATCATACCGGCCGAGCATTGAGAACATTCCTCCTTCCCTTGTCCGCAACATCTGTGGCTCTAGACCCTGTCGACCGGGCTTTCTACGTGGGATATGAAGATGGCAGCGTGCAGTCCGTAGACTTCTACCGCAGCCAGTCTGCACAGCATCCTCTTCACGATCCTTCAGTACAATCCACACCAGCGCAGGTGCCCAATGAGGACCGCTGGCTCCCTCCCTCAGCCGAAACAGGCTCAGTCAAGACAATCTCCCTTACATATGATGGCACCACGTTACTCTCCGGCCACGCGAATGGCAAGGTGCTGTCTTGGAATGTTGCGCGACGGAAGTATACATCAGCAGTTGCTGACTACACACACCCGATCACCAATCTGGTCATGCTCCCTCCGGGTGGCATCCCTCACCCTTCCTCTGATTTGAAGAGAAAGGCCCACACCATCGTGAAGCCGCGCCATGATAGCGGCCTCTCGGCCCCGAACCATGCCCCTGGCGCCGTCCCTGCAGAATATATGTTTCACACGCACATCATCGCACCATCCGACTCCCGCAAACCAACCCAATTCTCCCAGGCGCTTACTCACTCCTCTTTCCCCACCTCCATGATCGAAGATGGTCTTGCAGAGCTCGCGGCATTCCGCCAACCTGGTAATGCGGAAGTGACCCGCATTGGCTCAGGCACTGCCCCCGCCAAGGAATCTCCTGAAGACGCAGCTGCCCGCGATTCGCAGGTCACAGAGCTAGAAAACGAGGTGTCTGTGCTCAAGAAGAAGGTTGCAGTCAATGAGACTGCTCGCCATAATGCAGATGATGAGGTTGTACAGCTGCGCTCAGACCTCGCCAATCTGCAAGATTATATCAACGAGTTGCACGAGAAGCAGGAGGCAGCACAGCAGGAGAAGGTCCTGCGGCAAGCAAGGAAGCAGGAACACGAGACGAAGAAGCGGGAAGCCTGGCTCGCTGCAGAGAAGAAGGGTCGCAATGGTGATGCAGTCGTTCAAAAAATGGACATTGATGATGCTGTGACCAGTGACTCGGATGATCAGAGCGACGAATAAAAAAAAAGCTTTGGATTTTTAGTTGGCATGTGAATGGATCGGCGCAGGGTTTTGGATTAGTATATACTATATCATTTTGGAGCTTTCAGGTCAATAATAAAATGTCCGCCACGTTCATGAATGAGTGCAATTCAATTTCCCAATCGTTATTCTCATATCGCCTTGAAGCGGTTCTCATCTTTGTCCTTGAATGGACGAGTCACCAATCCTCAACAACAGCTTGGGCCCCCCACTCCTACTAACTCGAAAGTGTACATCCAAGCTACAATGTTTCAACAATCATCCTATTCTAAACACAAGGGGTCTCGCATCTAGAAAATTGAATAAAACAGACCTTGGAGGGGATGGTTCCATTTCCTGGTGGACCAGGGTGTTCGCGAGGCAACCGCGAAGGGGTAATGCAGGGCTCGCATGGCAAGATGCGCAAGGATGTACAATTGTCTCAGACAAGCTCCGCGAGCTTCTCTTCTCTAATTCACCAAGGGCATATCTCTATGGAAACTGGGATTTAGCAAGGTCGTAATCCTTGTATATCATCCAGGCTCTTATCCCGCTCGCGCCGTTCCCTCACGCTGGGTCCTGGGTCTATGCGCAGGGAGTCGATCCCTATATAATCGCCACATACAGAGATATTTCGGCCCGAGCAAAAGGGCAAGGAATAGATGCCCATTGTGCTCATAGTATCCCTCCATTTTCACTATGAAAGCTCCACCTCCAACGTCCAACACTCCCCACAAGACAAGACGTATTCCGGGAACCTCAGAACAGCTCAAGCCACCGCATGACCACATCCCTGTTCAAGAATCTCCCCCTTATCAATCTCTTCCATAATACTAATTCCAGCACTGGTTCCAATGCGGAACGCTCCAGCCTTAAGCATGCGCAACAGAGCCTCAGCAGTGCGTATACCGCCACTAGCCTTGATCAAGCAAGAGCATCCACACATATCCGCTGCCAAGCGCATAAGCTTAACCTGCTCAACACTCGCACCGCCATTCCATCCCGTGCTAGTCTTGACGTAGTCCGCGCCAGCCAAGCAGCACACAATCGTCGCATCGAGAATCTGCGCCTCCTCGAGCACAGACGCCTCCAGAATCGTCTTGAGGATAATTGGCGCCGGGGCGGCATTGCGCACCGCGAGAACGTCCTCGTACACCTCCGTATACCGACCCTCTTTCAGCAGGTGGTACCGGATCACCATGTCTAGTTCTGTAGCGCCCTGCACAACAGCCTCTTTGGCCTCGCGCACTTTCTCAGCTGTCGGGTGCGTGCCCTCGGGGAAACCAACCACACATGCGAGCGCCGTGTTGCTGCCTTTGACGTGGCTTGCAGCGCGGGTGACGTGCTCCAGTCGCACGCATACGGCGGCGAAGTCGTATTCAAGGGCTTCTTTACACAGCTTGTCAATCTGCCAGGGGTCGACTGGGGTCGTTAGGAGGGTATGGTCTATTGTGCGGTGGATTTGTGTTGGAATTGGCGCTTGGGACAGTGAGTGCTTGGGCAGCTTCTGCTTCATGTGGGCTAACTTTTCCGCCCATTCGGCGTCTGTTGTTGGGATGGCACTCATGCTGGGCGGTTTGTGTGGTGTGTCTTTCGTTGGAGAGCACGCCGCCGGAATGGTTTTAGGGATTACTTCCGGAAATATGTTCAAGTCTCCTATCTCCTACCTTGGCATAGAGGGGAAGAGGGGTTGTCACGTGGCGCTTCTAGAATCATCATGACGACCCGTCCACGGGTGATTCATACTGACACGATGTGACCTTGAAGAGGCGGTGTTGTGGCGCTAGCGGACTAGTGTGTGTCTCGGGCAATTTCGGTAAGTTCTAGCGATATATCATGTTCAAGGGGCAAGCATCGACCTGTAGTATATGTGTATTTCGAAGGCTGTGGTAGAAAAGTACAAGTTTCCGTCGAATATCAAAAGCGCATTGCAGGATGCATTGCATATGACAAGCTTTCCAGCCAAACAGACCAAACCTAAGGACCCTAAAACTCGTCATCTTAGCCCAAATGCTAACCTATTTTCTCTCCTTGGCGCTAAATTTTAGCAGCGATTCAATCGCTTTGACTGTTCGCTTATTTGCAGCTCCCGCACTCCGGCCCACGAACATCATCCACACGTCCCACGCGACGCGGACCAGGTCCCGGACCACCGCCGCCACCTCCACCACCACCACCTCCTCCACGAGAGGTGCTGCCTCCCCAGCGAGGGCGAGTAGTATACTTGTTATTCTGGTTGTTGATGTTGAAAGAAGAGTTCTCGGCGGCAGCGTAGGAGTCGAGCTGAGATACGTCAGATTGGTCCAGTTGTGGAATATGAAAGAGCGGCGGGGCGAAACGAGGAGCAAGATGAAAAGAAAATGTCGCGTATAAAAAGGATATGAGAGCTACATACCGATAAGAGGGTAGTGAAGTACAAGCCCAAGAAGAAGTAAACGCTCTCGATGAAGCGGGTGAGCCGCACGGTGAATGGGGGGCTGTGGGCGCGCTGGTTAGCTCAGGTCTCTATCGTTGCGGAAATAAAAGAAAATCACCTCTGGAGAGCCTCCCCATTGGAGAAATAAGCTGGCCTTTGGGGTCTGGCAGACATGGTTGTTGCGGAGGATGGTTGTTAGAATTGAAGATGGGAATGAGGTGGAGTGATCAACATGGCCGGGCCGGGGTCCACTAATTTATAGCCGCACCCTTTTCTGTTCCGTGTACCAAAGCGTACAAACGTGTAAAACGTATACATCGGTCTAAATGTGTTTAGAAATACTAATTTTGGTCTTAAATGATGATATTGATATTCTTCAATGATCATGCATATCTTGTTTCTTGGGGTATCTGAATGCTGTCTATGTACATTGCTCATCATATTTACAACCATCGCTCAGAAATATATATATAAAAAGTTGCATCACTGCTTTTCGTCCCCTGACACAGCGACCGTATCCACCTCGCTTCGAAGTTCATCTAATCCATGGAAACCCTCTTCAATCACCCATCGCTGGCCTTGGGGATTGTGCAGCACGTGGCAACTGGCACCAACAACCAGCAACCCCGGTGGTCGCGACCCTGCTTCTTCAAAGGCCAAGCAGATATGCTCTAAGGTTGAGCGAATGACACGCTGATCTGGACACGATGCACGCTCAACAATCGCACAGGGTGTCTCCTTAGGCCACAGTGCGCGCGATTGTGAACGAGTGTCTTCCGCGGGGAAGGTAGTGAGGGACTCTACAAGAGCAGAGAGTCGGTGAAGAGCCATGAGGAAGACCACAGTCTGAGTAGATACGTATGTGGGGGGATTTGGAGCAGCTCCCTTTCTCCCGGTTCCTGTGCACACAAGGACCTGGTCGGAGACGCCGCGGTGGGTTGCTGGGATATCCGCGAAGAGGGCCGCGCTCATAGCGCTGGTGATACCCGGCAACACGACCGGGGAATAGCCCTCCTTCCTGAAAAACTCGAATTCTTCTGCTCCACGTCCATATAGATATGGGTCTCCCTGTTTCAAGCGAAGGACTTGCCGTCCTTGCTTCAAAGCTGCCAGACCCATCACGAGGAATTCTTCCTGGGCTTGGTCTGCATTGCCAGGGAACTTTCGTGCGATGTGAACTTCTGTTCGGCGAGGGATCAAGTCCAGAACCGGAGCAGGAACGAGCTTGTCTGCGAGGATAATATCGGCATTGTGGATTGCGTGGTAGGTAGCGCGGGTGAGTAGGTCTGGATGACCTGGGCCAGAGCCAGCGAGGACGATCTTCCCCTTCTTTGGGAGGGTATTGAGGCCATTTGCGCCATTTGTGGTGGCATTGCCAGATGTATAGGCCTTTAGGATGGCATCCATATCGGCATCGGTGATAGACACGAGCTTTCGGAGAGGCCAGTATTCACAGATTTGAGACAGCCAACGTACTCTTCTTGTCTTTGCGGCAGCAACATCGCCTTCTGTGACCAAGTTGTTGAAGGTGTGTTTTTGGCCTACACTATCGTCATCCTCTCTGTCAAATATGCCTTCTGCTAGCCCAGCAGCATTGTCCTCTTCCCACAGCCGCCTTCGCACAGCACCAAGTCTGTCGATGGCCGTTCCAAGGTTTTGGGGAAGAAAAGCAGCAATCTCCCTCCGCAACCGGGATGCAAGCTTGCACCCCCGGCCGGAAGTAGTGATTCCAATGTGAAGGGGACCGTCTGAGTAGGTGGATAGTAGGGTGAAAGAACATAGTTCGGGGGCATCTGATACGTTCACGGGGATTCTGAGGCGTCGGCAGAGCTTCGATATGTGCGCGCCTATTAGGAAGTATAAGTAAGAGTGGTTTGAGAGTTGTACAAGCAGTTCATACTTAATGAGTTGTTGCTGCCAAAAGTGACAAAGACCAAGTCCACAACGTGATCAACTTCTTCTCTACCCAGGGTTGTCAAGTCCTCGTCTTGGAACTCGTGACGAATCCATTGGGTAGAGCCATTGGCAATATGTTCGGATATAGTATAATGCATGTCGTCGGTTTCCGGCGCAATGATGATCGGCTTTGCGCCGACTTCGAGGCTCCTCGCACATCGAGCGGCGGCAAGAGGATTTGAACCGACAATCAAATGGATTTGTGAGTCGGTATTCCACGCAGCCATCAATGGCGCGGGCGAACTGGGATCGCATGAGGCGTCCTTCATGTTGAAGTATAGTGGAACAAAGTGTTGAGCCCCGCCAATGCCTCTATCAGTATGCGATATGCCGTTTTCGGAGAGGTAAGGAAGACCAAATTGCGGAAGGCTCTGGAATTCCGAGGGTTCAAGAGAGTTGCAGCTTGTATTTAACAAACAAAGCACCCAATGAGCTCACTTTCTAGATTTCCGCGGAGAAAGCGGCGAATATTAAGACTGAGTAAAAGGCCTGTCACGATTGGTGATAACGGGCGATAAGGATATCGAAGTGGGGGATGATCCTAGCACAATTGACAGGGCCCTGAGGGTTGATTTAAGGAGAGATCAAGAGTCAGACAAAAGTCCTTGAGGTCGATCTTATACCATTGACTCATATATACCAAATATAGCGGACACACAACTCTTTCCAAAAATTTCTATACATCTTTATCGCCTAAAACGGTTAAAGGCAATTGCGTGCTTGTACACCACGTGATCACATATACCGGGGAAGTGGCCATAGACTTACCTAAAATAGCTTAGCGGGGATGTGTAAGTAAAAGATGTGCGTGGTCCTTAGCTTTTTGAAAAGGCGCTATACTATTTATTTTAGGCAGTCATTCACAAGAGTATAGTTCTGTCCTTGACGACTTAGGACTTGGAAATTTGATCCATTTGGCCCAAAGTAATATTAGGGATGTTAGGTCCAACTATAACAGAACGATGTCTTTTCAGATGTCTAGTTTTATATTTGGAAGGATGAAAATGGTTGATGAAAATGGTTGATGAAATGCAGAATAAGGTGGGAAGCTCAGAGCAACTTTTCTGTGTATATGTAGCATGTAACATATACAACGTACAAAAACATCCATAGGTCTTTTACGTATAATCTGTAATATCCTTTCTTACTATTCTCTGCCGACGCTGCCTTCTGCGACTCTTCAACGTTCCTTCCAAGCTGCACCCAAGGTACAACCACGACACTTCACGATTTTTGTTTCCACTCCTGCCGTTACTTAACCTTCTCGTACTCTCCATCTGATTGGTTCGCGGCCTCTGTCACTGAAGTCGACCGCGATGAAATGAACCAATATCTTCTCCCATCCAAATCTCTACAACGAATACTTCGACTGCTGTGCGCTATCCAAAGCCCTATACAACTTGCCCAAGCGAGTTATCCTAATTCTCTCATAGTTGCCGACTTTAACCCACAGTCGCTATTCAATTATTGCAGAGAATTGAACAAATTAAAGCTGAAAATGCCCCGGAAGAAGTCCTCTCACTATTGATTAAAGGGCTGTATACCGCCAAATTGATCGCCCTTCCACATCTCGAATTATTCGGTCCACTTGACCCCTAGTCAATCTTTGCGTCAAAAGTGTACGACACGTGAAAAGAGGAAACAATGGAGCGACTAGGTCACCTCGTATGCCCGCAGGAAAACCTCGACCCACCAACCCGGGCGTGTCCATGTTGGAGATAAGCGTGGTCTGCAGGGACGCTTCCAGTAGACGGTAAGAAAATGGGTGAAAATGGCCCTACATGGCCAGTCATTCAATCAGAAGAATTTTCAGAAGGAGGCCAACAAATACTACGGTCTGACATGAGAGACATCGTGGTGCCAAATTCTCGGTTTTTACCTGCCAGCCTCTTCGATGAAGGCGGCTCATATGGTGCCCAAGACCCTAAGCCAAGAAGAGGTTTCGCATTATTTCGGGGCTGAGGATGGTGTGCGTGCTCTGTTCTGCAATAGTACGAATATCTTAGTTTCCCTTAAATAGAGATACAGCTGACCAGAGATCGACGTTCCATAGCGCTGTCGTTATGCAAAGTCGTTAAAGCTCTGCTAGAGCAAGGGGTGATTGCTGTGGTTCATGAGACAAAAAATGAAAAATTTATGTCAGGAGAAATCATCAAGATGTACTTTGCCTACTTTGAGAGAATCGGGAACAATCACTAGGACTCTGAAATATTTCGACTCCCCTAGGCCAAATGCATTCGGTTCCTCGACGCCAATAGTACCTTCACAGCCTGTGGTAATTGTCAGTGGAATAGACTAGAGAAACGATGTGACTTCTTCCAATACCCCCTCGCCCCAGATACTCCCCGCGTTCACCAGCGCGCCAGACTTCCCAGTCACCCATCAACTCCCTAGTGCTGACAACATTGTTATCGATATGCCCATAACACTATGGAATTGCGCCCTCGTGTTGGTTATGACAAACAAGTGGAGGGACATCGGGGGCCTGGGAGAACTATCTTCTCATACGGTGGAGTGACCATTGCGGGCATAGCTCCTGACTACAGTCGAAAAAGTGAGAGTTCATGTTTGAATCTCCTTACACTTTGCTTCAAATCGAAGATAATGTGTCGAATCCCTTTAAAAACCTTTGGCGCAAACTCTTGCTCCATGGAAACAGTAGTATTACAGCAGTGCTATTGATCAAGTGGCATCGGAAACGAGCTACTGCTGTTCTGTGAACAGGACTCATCCTGTCTTTATGAAGTGACCATCAATATGGAATATATTATATCATAGCCATGCCGCAGGGACTGTTGTTTAGGACGACTCTTCTACAAGGACACTCACTACTAGATAATCTCCTCTCCCTCGCAGGTTGCTATGGCTGAGCAACTCACAATTCCTCTCTGAATGAATGGTATCCTATCTCCTGCTCTTGAGTTTAATATTTGGTCTTGTCGCTCTTCTGTCGCTCATACTTTCAAATTATATATGCGTGACTGCTTTCAAGCATGTGCTTGTCAATACATGTATAGTTCGGGACATGCTGAATTTTCCACTAATCCTAACTAGGTATAGTATGGAAAACACCACGCTCCGGTGATCCAAAGGCCACGCAAAATCGTGTCCTGCCGCACTCAGACAATGTAGATTTATACGATTTACAGTATTAAGATCATTATTTATAGTCCTGGAGGTTGCTGACAGATGACCAGGTGATGTTGAAATCGCGCTAAGAACCTCATATGGTGGTCTCTATGGCATATTTAGCTTCGTGAACAGAAAACATGGGCCAGAAAACAATATGTATATTGTTGGTTCTAGCTTAAAAGGTTAGGTATTCAGAAGAGACTGATTCATACTTACTGGGAATATTCCAATTGATAGACAAGAGGACAACTGGAAGTAGAAGTCCTAGGAAGACAAATGATGTTTCGGTCACGTGGGTCAGAGCTTCCAGCTCGTAAGGGCGCGCAACACCGGAGCTACAAGCATCATCTCCATCTCATCCTCTTCCATTCCACGAATCTCACGTTGTCAAGCGCAACCAAGCGTGCTCAAAGAAATATCCTACCAACTCAACCTGTTAATCTTTTAAATTGACTCACCGGCCACCCCAGCCTCATTCGTCATCATGTCCGGCGGCCTGCTGAAGCCCGAGAAGGACTTCACCAAGGATGCCGACAAGCTCATCCCGGAGGCGGAGGATCTCGCAAAGGTACAACCAGAGTTGATATCCATATCAAAGCTGATGCTAACATACGTGGCTCTAGACCGATGTCCAGGGAGCAATCGATAAGCTGTTGGGCCTGGAGAAGCAATCCAGACAGGTACGACGCCGAGTGCCATCCCCGTTACCGATCTACCCAAACTAATCAAGACAGGCATCTGATCTTGCCACTACATCGCGACTCCTGATTGCCATTGTCACTATCAGCAAGAACTCCGGCGACTGGAACCTTCTCAACGACCAAGTACTGCTCTTATCCAAGAAACATGCCCAACTTAAGCAGGCCACAACAAAGATGGTGCAGACGGTGATGAAGTTCCTGGATGAGACACCTAGCCTGGAGGTCAAGATGTCTGTTATCGAAACTCTGCGCACAGTGACTGAGGGAAAGGTACGCTGAGAACCATTTGATATTGACCGGAGTGGCGCTGATTATCGCAAAGATCTTTGTTGAAGTAGAGCGAGCCCGCGTTACCCGCATACTTTCGAATATCAAGAAGACCCAAGGTGATCTCACTTCGGCAGCAGACATCCTGTGTGAGTTGCAGGTGGAGACATTTGGGTCAATGACGAGACGGGAAAAGACAGAATTCATCCTGGAGCAAGTCTCTTTGTGCATTGAGCGTGGAGACTGGACCCAAGCTCAAATTCTCAGCCGCAAGATCAACAAGAAGTACTTCAACCGCAAGCCGAAGAAGTCCGCCGAGGAGATCGAGAAGCTCAAGGAGCAGGCTGCGGAGCGGGAGAAGACCCGTGGGCCTGATGAGGCACCTATGGAGGTGGATGACGACGTCACAGATCTCAAGCTTCGTTACTTCGAACAGCAGATTACCTTGGCCAACCACGATAACAAATATCTCGAGGTTTGTAAGAACTATCGGGAAGTCCTGGACACGCCAGCAGTCGAGAACAACCCAGAGCACCTGCGTGCCGTAAGTAAAACCTTCCATCTCAGAATGTAGGCCACCACTAACCCCACTCTAGTCACTCGCCCGAATTGTGTACTACGTTGTCTTGTCTCCCTACGATAATGAACAATCCGACCTTTTGCACCGCATCAAGCAAGACTCACGGATGTCACAAGTCCCCGAGGAATCCCGCTTGTTGAAGCTGTTCACCATTCCCGAGCTGATGCGCTGGCCTATGGTCGCCGAGCAGTTCGGTCCCCACCTCTGCAGCACAGACGTGTTCGACGCCGAGGCGAAGCAGTCCACTGAAAACCAAGCAAACCGGAGGTGGCAAGACCTGCGGAAACGTGTCATTGAGCACAATGTCCGTGTAGTGGCCAAGTACTACACTCGCATTCAGATGGGCCGTCTGACCCAGCTTTTGGATTTGACCGAGGAAGAGACCGAGAAGTACATTAGCGACCTGGTCACGTCGAAGACCATCTACGCTAAGATCGACCGACCCGCGCGGTTGGTCAACTTTGCCAAACCCCGGGATGCCGATGACGTTCTGAACGAGTGGAGCAGTGACATGAAGAATCTACTGGGTCTGCTCGAGCGGATCGACCATCTGATTACCAAGGAGGAGATGATGGCCCGTATCCAGCCCACTCGCAGTGACATGGGCAAGGCGCATTGAGTTGTTTTGAGATGAAAGCATGTATTGGGCGCGGGGATTACTGCCACCGCGTGTAAAATAATTCGCCGGTAGGCCCATGAGTAGTGAAGTCGCAGTATTGACCTTTATATGACACATACACAACACAATCTCAGTCTCGCAACAGTAGCAATCATCAATTCGTTATTCTCAAGCGAGTATATGTGCCACATGTAATCATCGTCTATAGAATCTAATCTAATCCAGTATAGATCCAGCTCTGTCTATATACAAAGTCTTCGCTTTCAGAATGGCAAATCCATATCGTTCACGTCCTCTTCCACCTCCTTCATACCATTCAAGCCAACCTCCTTCATACCATTCAAGCCAGCACTCCGCTCCATCTGCTTCCGGATAAACAGCACAGCAGCATCAAGATACGGCCGCTGACTCGGCAAAAAGTGACCACCGGGATGCCAAACAACCAACCCGTCCTTCTCAGGTTCACCAGCACAAGCCTCAACCAAAGCCCGACTCCTCGACTCCTCAACTACAGCATCCAAAGACCCAAGCACATGCAACACAGGCGTCTGAATAGCCGGCTCCTCATAGAAAGCCCTGTACCGAGCCCCAGGCGCCCTGAATCCAGAGTAACAAACCGCAAACTTAAGCTGCGGATGCTGGAAGCTCTCCTCGCCGAATGGCGCCGGAATCACCATCCCCGCCGCACCATCAGTGCTTATCTTAGAAAAGTGCTCGAATGACTCCTTCCGGCCGGGCTCCAGTAGCGCTGCGACCATGGCGGCCAGCGCCGCGCCCTGCGAGAACCCGATCACGCCGTCGAAAGGACCTTCTTCTTTCAGCGTGCGCGCTACTGCTGCAAACCCTTCTTCAATGCCGGTGTACAGCGGCGGGTTCGCGGTGTTGGAGCGGCGCCACCAGCCGTAGGATTCGATTTCGTTGTCTGGGCTGCTTTCCGAGGAGGGCTCGTAGCCTGGGATGTCGGCGGGTCTGAGACGGATGGGGGCTGTTGGGTAGATGGCAGAGACTTCGTGGAGGGGGAAAGCTTTTTGGATGTGTTTTGTCAGGGCGCGGCTTTTGGCGTGGAAGAGGGTACCGGACTGCGTGTAGCCGTGAAGCATGAGCAGTTTGAGCGGTTGCCGCGTCGAGATCGAGGGATTGGGCGCCATTGTTGCTAGAGGTCGGGTGTGTGTGACTCTAGAAAGTAGGGAACTTAAGGGCTTGGGGGAGAGGGTTGTTCTATACATCAGAGGAAAGAGGAGAAACTAGAAGGTGACTCTTTTTCTCCCCCTCTCCGATGTAGGCGCGATAAGATAAGAGTGGAGTCTTTTTGCCAAGCGGCCCGCTAAGCCGCAACTCAACTACATAGCACTCGAAGCCGTGAGTGATTTTACAACTTTGTTCATAAATGCGGCTAATTCCGCGGCTGGTGCGTCCTTGCGTACCGTCGATGTAGGTGCATGGACACCATCGGATTCTGAAGTCTCAGAGATTGTCAACCAACGACCTGGAGTCGGAGAGTTCGAGTGAAAAATATAGGCAGAAGGCTTTCTGGGTATCTAAGCCTAAGAACGCGTTTCTAATATATGCATCCAACCTGATCAAAGACCATCATGATGGGGGGGGAGGGGGGCAAGCAAGCTCTTAAACAAATCTTCGATAGTTTAATCCAAATCTCGGTCCGGCTCGTTAGAATACCCTCGCTCGTCCACCGACCATAGAGGACGCCGAATAGAAACTGTTTAGTAGCAAACCATACACCAAGGCAACATCTATTATCTTCCATAGTAAGGTCAGTCTCCACAAAGTCCCCACAATCATTCATAGACTTCCGCACCACCCATTTTGGGTCGAAGGTCTCTACCCAGACTTACTAAAGTTATAGATAATTATATATGACTACTAGTTATCAGGCTAATTCCTGTTGGTAAGGCAAGTAGAACGATGGAGAAAGGGTATGGGATTCTTCATACAGAAACTAATTCTTGTCAGTTTCTGGCTTTGGGGGGGAGGCATCTTCTTCGTTCCTGGTACTTAAAGATGATCACATGGTTGATCGGTAGGTAACAAAGGAATTTGAGGAATAAAGAAGTTAAATATACATCATGAGCATTGGTTCCATTTCCCTTTACACCAAGGGAGAGTACAGTACGTCTCGAAACTAGTGCGACTACCTACACTCTTTGATTGATTCTCCAACCCTATTGCCAAACTAGATTCTAAATAGGAATAGTTCCGGGATATAATTCTTCCTGTATCATTGTGATAACCATATTATACTATGCTAAAAATACATAGTTGTATGAGTTATTGTAATTGTAATTGTGATCTAAAGAGTTTAGAAATTTCTATGAGCTTGCAAACAAATCAAACAAATCAAGCAGCAAAGGTCTTGCGAAGTGGATGAGGTGTCACTTTCCTCAGTTCCTCATACAACTAGGTTACGGCCTAGGGCTCATTAATTGACCACTTCTAGTAATGGAACCTGCTGGTAAATATAGATATACCTCACTCCACTCCTAAGCCTGTTTCGGACCCGCAACTCCCCACATTCGCCAGATGTCTCCTGGTAACCTGATAGGAGAAGTGGTCGCCAAGGTTCAGCACCCGACAGTCACCTGATCGTGGGGCTGAGCTTCCCTTTCTCCACGTTGGGAGCCTTCTGTGCCTGTGACAGCGTCATCGCAGACGAGCCATTGAGCATGAATTCCATATCATTTGGTAGCGAAAACTCAGGAACTCAGGTGGGGGCCAACCATGGTCCGATAACTCAAATCTATGTCTCATCTGGTGAGAGACAACATGAAACCTTTAAGCCAGGCCAAGCTGACTGAAAGCCACTTTTGCGGCCCAGACCGACAGGAGACCCCAGAGCAGAATAGAGACAATGGTTCGAATCGCTCCTTATGAGTCAAACAGATTTTCCACTCACAACTTTAACAGAGATACTTGAGTCACTGGCATTCCCGCAGATGCTTGACAGGAGGGATAACATCGAGCCATGCCACAGGAATACCTGCAAATGGATTCTAGAGCTGGAAGAGTACCAGTCTTGGAGGAACCAGTCCCACGGTCTGCTCTGGATTAAGGGCAAGCCAGGTGCAGGAAAGTCGACCTTAATGGTATTCCTGCACGACAAGCTCCAAATATCAGTAGACGATCGTCCAGGTATTCGCCTCGACTTTTTTTTCACCGCTCGGGGTACAGAGATGCAACGTACACCACTAGGAATGCTCAGATCATTACTGAACCAGATTTTCGAGCGCGACCCGGCTATACGTCCTCAGATTCGTGAGACATACGACCGGCGATGTAAGCAGTTTGGATATGGTAAACGTCAGTGGGAATGGCCACTGGTGATGCTAGAAGAGTTACTAGCAAGTGCCATCCTGGCATCAGCCAACCAGCAGCACGTGGTAGTTTTTGTGGATGCTCTAGACGAGGCTGGGGCTAAGTCTGCTCAGCAGCTGGCAGGATATTTTCATCAGCTCGTTAATCGCGCCGAGAAAAAGAAGCTATGCATCCAAGTTTGTATCTCATGTCGACACTATCCTATCATGGAAAGTGGTCAGGCTATAGAGATAAACGTCGAAGATCATACCCAGCAAGACATTGCCACATATATCCAAGATATCCTTACCAAGACAGAGGCCAACGATAACGCCAGTCAGAAGATAAGGGAAATGCTAGTCGAGCAATTAACCCAGCAAGCGAATGGAGTGTTCCAATGGGTTCATATTATAATCCCCCTCATCGAGCAGAAGGTTCGTGAAAGAGAATCGTTTAATGACATCTGTTGCTGGTTACGCGAGGTCCCGGCCGGCCTGGAAGATGTTTACACGTATATTCTGAACAACGTGATAGAGAAGAGTAACCGCGAGCAGTCATTTCTGTTCTTTCAATGGGTATGCCTGGCCGAGCGACCCCTGACTGTGGTCGAGATGCGGTATGCTTTAGCGGCTAATAATGTGCGGGTAACGCTGTCTCCAAAGAGATGGGAAAGGATCTATGGTTTCATCGAAAGCAACGAACACATGCTGCGAAGAATCAAGGCTCTTTCTGGTGGACTAGCCGAAGTAGTCCCAAGTGTGGATAGCAATGAGACTGTACAGGTGGTACACCAGTCGGTCAATGATTTCTTACGCACAAAAGGGCTTAAGGCCTTGTGTCATAATATCGACATGAGAATGTCGTGCATGAACGAGGATAAGATTCTTTCCCAATGCCAGGCAACTCTCTACCGATCGTGTTTAGTGTATCTTGCAACAGTTTATATACCGGCAGAGATCACTGAATTCAAAGGAACCAAAGAAGACCTTATCCATCGTCCGTTGCTTGAATACGCCACTACGAATCTTTTTATTCATGCGGAAAAGGCTGCCGACTCTCGATCTGGCATGTTTCAGAATGAGAAAGACATCCTACAACAAGTGCTCGGTCATTGGGTCCAGATCTACCAGAAACTAGATGGGTTTAGCAGTGTGTGCCCATCGAGAGGCACAACACTGTTACATATGGCTGCTGCTGCCAATCTAGTGGATCTCATGGAGCCTCTGGTGTCGGATATTAAGGATGTCGCGATAAGGAACAGAGATGGAGATACAGCTTTACACTTGGCAGCCCGATGGGGTCATGTAACAGCCGGACAAATACTCCTTGGGAAAGGAGCGGACCAAGAGGCAAAGAGCCACAGAGGCAAGACGCCATTATCCGAGGCAGCTAGTGGTGGACATATAAGATTTGTTGAATGGCTCCTACATGAAGGTGTGAGTCTGGAAATAAAAGGAGATGGAGGTGCGCTACAAGAAGCTTCTTTGGAAGGCTATGAGAGTGTTGTGGAGATACTACTCGGAGCGGGCGCCGATATCAATGCCCAGGGTGGTCAATACGGCAATGCCTTACAGGCCGCTGCATGGAATGGAAGCCCCGAGATAGTGCAGATACTACTCGGAGCGGGCGCCGATATCAACGCCCAGGGTGGTGAATACGGCAATGCCTTACAGGCTGCTGCATATAGAGGAAGCCCTGAGACAGTGCAGATACTACTCGGAGCGGGCGCCGATGTTAACACCCAGGGTGGTCACTTTAGCAATGCCTTACAGGCTGCTGCATATAGAGGAAGCCCTGAGAAAGTGCAGATACTACTCGGAGCGGGCGCCGATATCAACGCCCAGGGTGGTCAATACGGCAATGCCTTACAGGCTGCGGCATGGAGTGGAATCCCCGAGATAGTGCAGATACTACTCGGAGCGGGCGCCGATGTTAACACCCAGGGTGGTCACTTTAGCAATGCCTTACAGGCTGCTGCATATAGAGGAAGCCCTGAGAAAGTGCAGATACTACTCGGAGCGGGCGCCGATATCAACGCCCAGGGTGGTCAATACGGCAATGCCTTACAGGCTGCGGCATGGAGTGGAATCCCCGAGATAGTGCAGATACTACTCGGAGCGGGCGCCGATATCAACGCCCAGGGTGGTCAATACGGCAATGCCTTACAGGCTGCAGCATATAGAGGAAGCCCTGAGAAAGTGCAGATACTACTCGGAGCGGGCGCCGATGTTAACACCCAGGGTGGTCACTTTAGCAATGCCTTACAGGCTGCTGCATATAGAGGAAGCCCTGAGAAAGTGCAGATACTACTCGGAGCGGGCGCCGATGTTAACGCCCAGGGTGGTCAATACGGCAATGCCTTACAGGCCGCTGCATGGAATGGAAGCCCCGAGATAGTGCAGATACTACTCGGAGCGGGCGCCGATATCAACGCCCAGGGTGGTCAATACGGCAATGCCTTACAGGCTGCTGCATATAGAGGAAGCCCTGAGACAGTGCAGATACTACTCGGAGCGGGCGCCGATGTTAACACCCAGGGTGGTCACTTTAGCAATGCCTTACAGGCTGCTGCATATAGAGGAAGCCCTGAGACAGTGCAGATACTACTCGGAGCGGGCGCCGATATCAACGCCCAGGGTGGTCAATACGGCAATGCCTTACAGGCTGCTGCATATAGAGGAAGCCCTGAGACAGTGCAGATACTACTCGGAGCGGGCGCCGATATCAACGCCCAGGGTGGTGAATACGGCAATGCCTTACAGGCCGCTGCATGGAGTGGAATCCCCGAGATAGTGCAGATACTACTCGGAGCGGGCGCCGATATCAACGCCCAGGGTGGTCAATACGGCAATGCCTTACAGGCCGCTGCATGGAGTGGAATCCCCGAGATAGTGCAGATACTACTCGGAGCGGGCGCCGATATCAACGCCCAGGGTGGTCAATACGGCAATGCCTTACAGGCTGCAGCATATAGAGGAAGCCCTGAGACAGTGCAGATACTACTCGGAGCGGGCGCCGATGTTAACACCCAGGGTGGTCACTTTAGCAATGCCTTACAGGCTGCTGCATATAGAGGAAGCCCTGAGAAAGTGCAGATACTACTCGGAGCGGGCGCCGATATCAACGCCCAGGGTGGTGAATACGGCAATGCCTTACAGGCTGCTGCATGGAATGGAAGCCCCGAGACAGTGCAGATACTACTCGGAGCGGGCGCCGATGTTAACACCCAGGGTGGTCACTTTAGCAATGCCTTACAGGCTGCTGCATATAGAGGAAGCCCTGAGAAAGTGCAGATACTACTCGGAGCGGGCGCCGATATCAACGCCCAGGGTGGTGAATACGGCAATGCCTTACAGGGTGCTGCATATAGAGGAAGCCCTGAGACAGTGCAGATACTACTCGGAGCGGGCGCCAATGTCAACGCCCAGGGTGGTAGATATGGATCATCTCTCTTGGCGGCTATTCATGAAGGCTATGTTCATGAAGTTCAAATTCTTCTTCATGCTGGAGCAGATCCACTGCTTACAGATGAACTCGGCCGCACTCCTCTTCATATTGCAGCTTCAAAAAACCGGCTCCAAATACTGCGTCGGTTTCCACAACTGGTGTCAGCTCTCAACAAGCGTAGTGATTTCTTACAAACTCCTCTCCATCTGGCGGTTTATCATGGTCACATTAGTTTTGCTATTGCCCTTCTCAATTCTGGTGCCGATCCTTCCCTCCTAGATGGTTATGGTCGACATGTTATTGACTGGGCATCCGATCACGAAACTCTACTACAGGAAATACATAATCACTGCTCTCATCTGGTATTGACGCCTCCTGATACTCAAGAGCTAACTGTTCATCGATCACTCTTCGAACTTAGCGAGTCGCTTCCATATTCCAAATCCAAGTCTCCATGGCCTATTTTACAACAATTAGGCCGCTATTTTTTGTTTCTTGGCCAATTCGACAACGCGCGCTATCTGTTCCAGCTCCATCTGCCTCGGGATTCGTCCTCCAGAACGGATATCTGGCAGATCTCCTGCAATATCTGCAACCAGATCATCACCGGAACTCGCTTTGTATGCAGACTGTGCGCCTATATGGATCTCTGTTCCTCCTGCGTACAGAAGTACCCCGGCCATAGCCGGTTACATCCAAATCTAAAGCACAAAGTATTCGAAGTGTCCAACGTTCCTGGACAAAACTCCCAATTCACCGGGATAGCATCAGAGCGATTGACACATTTCTTAAGCAATCTCGTTCATGAACGTCTTGGGCAAAACGCCTATCAATCTGAGATAGAGCTATCAAATGATTCCGTGATTTCTATGGCACTGAGCAAACCAGCTCTTGTTCCAAAACTCCCTTTCAGCCTGGTAACAAGAATTTGTGCGATCTTATTCGGAGTTTCAGCCACTTTTTTAGGAGCTTGGTATTTGTTAACAAGTTAAAGTTATTTCATAAGCTCAATCTATCTCGGTTTTTGCAATCTATATCACTCGGCAATAAATACATTCGGATATTGCTGTACCACATGGAGCGATTCTGTTTTGTACTTGCAGCTAAATATTTTTTGGGATGCCTAATTTCAAGGGCGTATGACTTATATGCCACAGATCTGTAATGCAAGATGTGGCTACAAAGCCGAGAAAGTGGTTGGCAAAGCGGAACCTTCAAGGCTAATCTAATCAAGGCTCACGCCGAGTTGTTTCCCAAATATCAAGTTAGAGATAATAGAAAATATGAGTTCCTGGAAACCGAGTAACTAGTTTAAATCTCCTCTGCGGTCAGACCTGCGTGGCGGAAATGTCCTTCCGTGCTCTTTTCCTCGCACCAATGATATCAATACACCATCCAAGAAGTCTATCAAAGCCTTGATCCGGGTCATTTTCGTAGGACTGCCAATTGCGCCGAATAAACGCTTTTAGTTTGGCAAATAACTCTTCAATAGGATTCAAGTCAGGAAAGTACGGAGGCAGATACACTAGCTTTACGCCGGCCTTTGAACACATCGTTTCTATTCGACCGTAGTGGTGAAAAGATGCATTGTCCATGACCAGCAAAGACTTCGGGTCAGGCCACCTACCGCAGTGCTGAAGAAGCTGTTCAATGAAATCCTCGGATGCATCAGTCAAGCCGCCTCAGAACACCCGAGAGAGAACAATGCCATCTTGAGCATATGCAGGTAGTATCTGGTATCGTTGATCCCGGTGGAATTTAGAGACTTGAGCTGGTGCTATGCCAAGTATTCTTTTACCACACCCAGACTCATCCACATAGACAAGGTGGTACGACTGGAAATCCGAAATGAAATGAGAATACTCATCACGCAGATCGAAGTTGCGTCGACCACCTTTATTAAGCGGTGTTTTGACGCTGTCAAAGATTATTATATTGGAGGATACTCTTAGGAAGTTAGGATGGTACTTCTGTGGCAGCCAGCAGCCTTTGCCATCGCGAGACAGATAGTTCTCCACTGTGAATCATATCATAGGTAAGCTCAAGCTTTGACGCGGTCAGATCGGGCGCCATCGTAGTGCCGCCTACTTATGCTTATCATCAAGAGTTCGTGTACCAAAGGAGAGAGTTTTTGAGGTGAGGCACGGAGGTGTCCAGTGGATTAAAGTTACAAGCGAATATAGTCAGCTACGCCTTGAGATATTCTTGGTAAGAAACAATACGATCCCCACTGACAGGGGTATCCTGGAAAAACCCCCCAAAATATATTAGCGCCTCTTAGTCACTTGGGTTCGAGAATCAGTCAAAGAGTGTAAGTGGTCGCGCCAGTTTCGAGACGTAGACACCCTGTGCGCTCCGCTAGGGTGTCATCCCGCAGGGTTAGTGGTGACAAATCTCACTGCCGCACCACTCCAGCCAACCCTACAAGCCATGAGTATCCACACTTCCATTACCATCACTATTGAAGCACTCGGCAAGGAGCCAACTGCGGCATCAAAGCCGACCACCATGCGAGGGCGTTCAGTCCTTGGGCCGTCGGTAGGACCGCGTGACATACAAACTCCAGCTACAGCGTGGAAACTTACCCCGTAATCAACGTTCAACACCTTGAAATAGCGCTGGCTGGACCTCTTTGACAAGGAACCGCTGGATCCATAACGACGCAGGACAACAAGTCGCACACATACATTGACGTCGACATGCCACAAGAGGTGCAACCGGAACATGGCAATGCAATGCTAGGCCCAGGTCAAACAGGCCCACATGGGCAAGCTACCAACGGTCCACCGATGCAGCATACTGATTAGCAAGACAGCGACTGCCATAGAACGGAGGGTTATCGGGAAACAGTCTGGTACTGCTTGCGGTTCCCTTTCAATACTATTCCTGCAGCTGACGATATCGTTCTTCGCCCTTTCCTTTATGAGTTTAGTTTGGCCGGGCAAAACAGGGCGGTCAAATCGCCGCCCTCCGAGTCTTAGATAGGAAACTCGGACCTTAAACAGCTTCATCACATCAACAAGCATACAATTCGCGTCTCGATTACTTTCAGCTTTCACAATTAAAACAAATCTACGCAATAATGACCACCACCAACCTCCAAGATCTCAATGCCAAGATGCAGGCTCTCATCGAGCATGTCTCCCCCACCTCGCAACCCCACACCCCACCACGCAGGATCTTTCCAAACACCTCATTATCTTACCTCTCACAAACAAAGAGTATGATACTAACAATTCGAAACAGAGCCTTTGAATCACACCCCCAGTGCCGACCCCCCAACACCCACCCAACTATCTTCTTCCTGTACGACTTCGTCCGCAACTCCTTCAACCAGCTGATGGCGGTCGACGCCGACAAGTACGCTGCTGGTGATAGTGGTGCTAAGACCACTGTGGATGAAGTCGAGGGTCGCAATGGGTTTGCTAACATGCTCATTAATGACACCTCTGGCAAGCTCTCCATGATGACCGGCGGTAACCCCTCCAACCCTGCTGATTTCGGTGCGGAGATCAAGGCTAAGGCTCTCGCTTTGACTCAGTAAGCGGTTCAATGCTGGATTTTCATGTTCATTCCTACATGTTCATTCAAGGGGATGGGAAGAGCAGGACGAGCTTGGCTTGCTCTGCTTGGTCTGCGGTTTCCGTCTTTCTCTTTACTGGCATCTCTTGTCTAGTGGCTTTATGTACAAAACAAATCTTATCACGGTATACCCATATGTACATACAACCTTGGATGAACCTGGGGTTTTGCTTTCTTTTGTCCTTCGAGTTTTAATATTTCTCTTCTGGTATGCATAGACAAGGGGATGTAATCCATGGTAGATATAGCCCGAGGCTGTATAGATTCTACGAACGTTAGCTAGGATAGCCAAGCAAGATAGTGTATTTGGAAAGGCGACAAAGAAGGGTTGATTTTCAAGCTTGGTCATATTGAGCCTCACGAAATGTATACCAAAGCAGACAAGCGTAGTGCGCAATGTGGGGAACTCTCGGGACCCGCATTCTTGGGAACTTGGGGTAACAACTACATACATGTACATAGAACAGAGGCCATAGTTAAACCCTTGATTTTCAATAGTCTCTTTATGAGATTTGGATATTCCTAGCCCTTAATAAGGGCTCAAATATTGTAAAAAGTGCGCAATCTTTCCTTAATCTCAATGTTCAAGTATTGTCAAACCTAGGAGAAGTAGATAGGACAAGCCACCAAAACGTCGCAAGGGGGGATAGTGAGAGCGTAATTTGAATGGATGCGTTTTGCAAATCTCCTGCCTGACCCCATTAAGATATCCATGCGAAGAAGAAGTAGACTGAGGGAAACAGAAAAACGAGGCTATACATCGCCAGTCTGAATGCCGAACGTCTCTCTACGACGTACAGACCCCAGAAATCCTCGCTCGCGGGGACCCCTTCTTCAAGGGCGATCTCTCGTTTAGGAGTTTTCTCTTCGACCACAGCTCTGCTTCCCAGGGAGAAACACGTCTTACTTTTTGCCTCCCGCTCTATAAAACGTAGTCGGACAGAGCGGGACTAAGATCTTTTATAGAACCAATGTTCAAACTTGTGATGCCATTGGCGGCCGGGGGCGCATGGGCTTTGGCGCGTAGTGATAAAATAAATGATCCTCGTCGGGATATTCGGGTAGCAGGGGAGCGTATTCATACCCGTCGAATCTTCGAAACTAATAATGGTCAGTGGGTCAAGTATCATCTACAGCTGGGCATGTTAAAACCTGGAATTAGTATCATAAGCACTCGCCCGAAAGAATTCATAGTGCGCATATCACCGCAGGGCTAGAGACATTTACATCAGCAATAAGTTGACGACGGTTGAAGTGAGCACATACATATTCCACAACCTAATTTGGTTTTGGGTGAGTGGAGCAATATATGCCGAAAGAGGCATCAGTCAAGCCCACCGATGATTGTTTCAAACCTGCCCTTCAAAGTGTTCCAGAAGGACATCCCGTCCTTGGTTTTCAAGTATATAAGTTCGGTTGAGTATTCTTCGATTCAATAAGAATATCCTTGAGGACCTGCCTCTCGTCAGAATAAACAAAAACTGCTCGTGGACCCAATATACCAAAGTAGATCCCAGTGACGAGTAGACGCCGGAACTGGTGCTACTATACTCGAGTCGAACTGAGGATAGGCCGGAGTTTCACCTTCAGTAAGCCCCCACTTCACCAATGTAGGTATGTATAACATTACTGGGCCGCTTTGATCCACCTGAAATCCTTGGTCTGTTCGGGATTCTCGGAGGTCGAGTTCATCAGAATTGCCATTAAGTGCGCTTAAGTCAACAGTTGCTCCAGTTTTGGATGGCTGAGATATAGCGTGGCTTATTACAGTTTCTATTCAGTCAATAGCTTACTTGGGATCGTGCTTTCAATCTAGTCGGCAGATAGCACATTAGATGTTATGACAGTTCATATGTATAACATAGCGAGATGTAATGTCGGGCAGTATAGAGCTACAGCTATACATCTACAATCTACAATTGGCAGCGGTATAAGGTACAACTCGTGATATAGAGTGTATAGCCCAATATACAGTAGTCGCAGATACATTTAAACATTCAACACAAAAAAGCAGAAAATCAGAACATAAAACAGAGCACAAAGTCAAGCAAAGTGCCTTTTTTGTGCCAGATATCCGGAACTCCCTTAGCAGAATGCTGGTTGCTTTTTTTTTATAATGCTTTTGGTCGTTGACAGGATCGGGGCATTCCATCTTCTATCTGTCATCACGCGCAAGGAAATCAAGAATTCAACGCTGAGATATTAATCATCACCGTGAAATGCAAAAGAAAGAACAGGCAATGGTGGAAAATAGGATGAGAAACGGGCCCAAAAGGCCACATTCAAATTTTGTCTTCTTCAGAGGGGATCAACATACTGATACAGTATGGAAAAAGAACCATATCATATCATCTGCAAATCGCACCCCTTCTCACAACCCAACACACCATTCGAAAAAAACAGTTAATAAAAATGTCCATGTGGTTCGGTAGGGGAAGGGTGATATTGAAAAAAAAAGGGTTGTTTGGTATGTGACATTTTGAAGCCCGGTAGGAAGAGAGACAGAGAGAAAGCCCAGTATATGGAACTGGGCCAGAATAGCAACTCTCTCCCCGAAACACCGAAAACCGAAGCCGAGACGATCAAAAAAATTGTAAGAGGTCAACCCCGGGTTTTGGTATTTTCATCCTAATTTCTTCATGCTAATTCTCTCTTTGACGTTTCAACCGGAACATAACAAGAAAAAAAAGTTTTCATTCGTTTCTCGTTTACTTGCGGCGGAAAGAGCAGCCCTCGGTCAGACGGGCCTTGCCACCCGTGGGCTGGCAGAGGACAGTCGAGCAACCGGCGCAGATGACGACGGTCTGGGCGTGCGAGAAGACGGTGGTGATGGTGAAGCAACCGGGGCACTTGACGTCCATGAAGAAGGAGCGGGGCTGGGGCACGAGGGTCTGTCGAAGAGATTCCATAATCAGCTATCATTGTTCTTCCAACATTTCCATTTTCCACAAAAGATTCCATATCATCCTGTCGGTCGGTGCCTTTTCCCATTTCCTCCGTGTCGAGCATCGGAGGTCCCGGGTCCGGGTCGAATAATCCAGGTTTTCGCCACTCGGGTTGATATTTTCACAATCTTTCGTGCTTCTTTTCGGACTTCGGTGGTTTCATACCTTAAGCTTGTGCTTACGGGCCTCGGCCTGGGGGGTGGGGTTGAGGAGATCGACCGCGAGAACCTATCGAGGACAGCATGTTAGCGTCGGGTGGACGTTGAATTTTTGAATCGATAATCCGTATAGGTCTTCCATGTCCGTGTGTAATCGCATCGAACATGGACCGAGCGGAAAATCAGGGCGAAAATGGGCTTACCATCTTGACGAGTGAAAGTCGATCAGCGAGATAGTTGATTAATGGCGCTGATGGCGATGGCCTTGTGTGATGCGGATGAGGTGGTCTTCTAAGAGAAGTCTGAAGGGATTTGGACCGGTTTGGGTGGAGGTAGGGCTTTGTGCCGCTTTGTGCCCTCGCTTGTCCTTATTCGGGAAGGCGGCGAACTTTCCACCAATCAAAGCCTGATTATGTAAACCACTGAGGTAAGCACGAGCTCAATCGCTGGTTCCATGTGGAGACGTGGATTCCGCTGCGGGCAGGCAGTCAGGTGCTTCAACATTCTTCTACAACAATCCAAAACAACGGCAAAATTACAACTCTCATATTCTATCGCTAAATAGCCACTCCGAGCTATTTGCTCTGTGTTGAAGGAAAACAAAATTATGTACTGGAAAATGTCATTAGCCAGGCATTTTGTCCAACGCTCTTTTCAAGTGTCCGACTGAATCCCCGACTCTTCCACTCAGCTCGAGTGAGCTGTCTCGCCTGTGGTGATCGAGGTTGAACTGCTGTTCATCCACAAGCCCACCGAATACCCCGGGTTGCGCCAGCAATCCCTTTACTTGGTCTTCTTCGACGCGCCGATCTTGCGCTCGGTCTCCTCGACGAACGGATACTTGATGGTGAGGCACCAGATGTCGAGGTAGTCGCATATCGTGGTGATGATGTCAAACTGGAGGAAATCAAGATCAGCAATCGTCGCGCGCAGGGGAAAAGAAAAGGGGAAACATACCACGAAGCTACCGTACACACCGATGGCCAGTCCCACGCACCCGAACACGAATGCCACCTGCCCAACACCATACCCAAGCACAGGGGCGGACCACAAGCCGATCAGCGCACCCACGCTGTCCAAAACAGCCAGAGCGAGCGGGTACAGCAGGACATTTTGATAGGGGAAACTCGTCTGAGTGAGGTGGCCGATGATAATGCGGCCGACAGAGTAGGCATTGATCAGACTGACAAACAGACCGAAGGGAATGGTGTAGTTTGCCAAAATTGCCGGCTGCAGGTATAGGTAGGCTGGAATAAGAGTCCAGATGACCGCCAAGGGCAGGAGGCCATACAGCGGGGTGAAGGGGTCCTGGCCGCGCTCGCGACGCACCTGCATGACGTGCATGATACTCGAGCCGATGGCGAAGCAGAGCATGACGGAACCGTACATAAGATACCAATGCGTGAAGGGTATGTTGTACACCCAGTTTGAGAGGAAGCTGGGCTTTGACACGCCGATCGTCTCCAGCATGCCCTGGTGCCAGAAGCTGCCGCCGCCCATGTAGGCAGTGAAGAGGTAGACGAGGCAAATGGTGAGAATGCCCTCGACGGGGCCAGAGACCACCCCCAATGTGAGGATTTGCGTGTAGTATTCATCCCAGGTTTGGACGTAGAAGGTCATCGTTGCTGCAGTTGTCAGTGACGATTTATATCTGGAAGGGCTTGAAGAGGGCTGGACTTACAGCCGAATAGAGTGATGAAGGTTATCCAGGACTGGCCCATGTTCATTGCCGATGCGAAGACCAAGACGCTGAGACCGGTATTGCATGCATCAACGCCTAATAACGTAAAAGAATCAGCCATTCATGCACTTCAGTTCTTTCATACTGTCTTCGGGTACTCACTGTGATCGAAGAGTTCGCCCAGCGGACCACTCTGTCTTGTCCTCCGTCTAAAGTGCAGTCAGTATCAGTAAAGCGCCATTTAATTTTCCGACGGAAACGTGCAGACATACGCTTGCATGCCATCTACAGCATCGAAGGTCTGGTATAGGAACAAGCCAATCGCACAACTGAGATAGACCCAGGGCGGACAGTCCGTATCCAAGTTCGGGTTGTACCACATGACGGTAAGGAAATTAATTACCACAAACATGAATCCGCTGAGGGTGATCTACCGAAGTGAGGGATTAGGATATTTTCTTATACGGCAATTGTAACAGTGTCGCATGGGCAAAACTTACGGCATTGGGTCTTTAGACACGCAAAGAGTAGAAGAATAAAGTCAGCCATATTGCACTGTGTATATATCTGGAATGGGAGAATAGAAGACGGAAGGAACATGATATTCAACTTGGTGTTCAAAAAGGGACACGAGGGGAGGAGGTATATCCATGCTCACAAAATCCGGGGAATGAAAGTAAGGGGAAGAAGTATAGGAATATACTTACGCCATCCCCATGGGGAAGCAGCGAATCACACATTTGTTGTAGAACGGCTTTAGAATAAACTGACTGACAGGCGAGTGATCGACTCCAACATATTTGTAGTTCTTCAGATTCGCCAATTCATGTTGCCGGATGTAAACCATTCTGCGGTTGATTTTGCGCGTCTATGAACGCGCGGGTGTTTATTGTCCGGATATTCCGTTCTGGGGGCGAGGCTTATATTCGATGGAGTTGTCGCGTGGTGTTCGCATCTAAATACTCGCGGGCGTTTTTTCGAGTTGTCGACGCGCGATTAGAGTCGAGGCGTGATAGTGAAATGAAGGATATCGGAGAAGGTGTCGCCGGGAAAGTGAAAAAGAAAACAAAGGGAAACAAAAGAGTGTAAGAAGTGAAGAAGAAAATGAGGCCTCCGTTAGGGAGAAACAATCGTAGACGCAGGTCTATAGGGGTTTGATATTAAAGATCGGCGATGAAGAGTCAAAGAGGCCACTTGGTCTCGATGTTTTGTTGATTTTTGACTTTTTTTTTTCTGCCGGCGGAGAGGATGAGGTCTTGAATAATTGTCTATACGGAACTGATATATTACTATATTGTACATAGATGTACGTATTTACACTGTACGAGTTCGACTGCAAACTTATATATTCTTTCTTGTTAGGGACAATCCATTTGCAGACGTTCAAAACATTGCCCGAGCTTAAGCGTTGCCAATGAAATGCCCCTAAAATGTTGAGGCCAAGAAGTGGGGTTATCCGAGAGCGCTCGGGGCTAGCAGTAGGATCCGAGCTTTAACGAATATGGAGAGAGATCCCGTCTCTACTCCGTACCTAAAAGAGGTGCGATGTTTGACTTGTGAAATTGAATGCTTAATGCTTAGGTACGGAGTACACAATACAGAATCGGATGCAAAGGGCCTAGTATCCCCACAGGATGCATCCCGACAGAAAGGAAATAAGGGTATGGAGTAATAGCGAGAATTTCGGTACACCTCGCGACATCCTGATCAAACACCTGAACAATGAAGATTCCCTGGACGCCAAGATCCAAGGAAACAGGCCAAGGGAAAACGTTCCAGCTCTCACAATTTAGCCGACAGGGCTCCAGGGCATGGGAACAAGAATCCGGCTCTGCATGCTCTGGATCAAGGGAACGGTTTTGTGAACTGTCTCGGCCCAGCCTTCGACGCCCCATGACTGCTCGCGGCAGATCTTGCGCTCCTCCAAGTCGGCAAACTGCCACAGGTGGTGCACTGTGTTCAATTCGCCGATTTGCACGAACCATGCGCCTACACCCTCCATCACCTCACGACGAGCTGTGAGACCACGGCGCCAGTGTGTCTCCCACTCCAGGAGGTTGCCTGGGTGCAGTGTGTACGAACGAAGCTCAAACAGTCCACCGAGACGACGAGGCGGAGTTGTGGGCCAGAATGAGAACTCTTGCATCAACGAAGTCCTCTTGCTCTTAATCAGGCTCTTGAGTTTGCGATCAAACTCAGAGAACTCGGGGTGTTCCGAAATGCTGTGAAGAGAGGCGTGGTAGCCTTCGTAGCGCTGGTATTCCCAGATGTGGACTATTCAAGCAAAAACAAGAGTCAGCCCACAGAAAATGGTCGGGTCATTTGATCGGGACTTGCCAAAGGTATCATTGTCACCCACTTGTGTCCGCCAGCTGCCTACTAAGTTGACACGGTTCTCCTCGGTACCCGCCATACGAGGGTACCATTTGCCGACCAGCTCAACATATTCATCAACCTTGTCGGGCTTTACGTCGTGCATGACGATAGAATGGACGTATTTGCCACGGGCTAGGACCTCTGAGAAGGAGCGCTCCATATCCTTGTCGAAATGTTGGCCCTCCTTGGTGCCGTAGATTAGCGAAGACAAAGGACCACGTTTGGTCAGAGCTTCTTGGCGTTGGTCATCCCCTAGATAGCGGTGCGTTGAGAGTGAGCCCAGTCCCTTCTGGTCAAGCGCTATAGCAGCATCGAAAGTAGGGCAGATACGATCATGTCTGCTCGCATTGCTCACTTGTGGAGCAGTGGGAGCGTACTCACGGGAAGGGGGAGATGAAGAAGCAGAAGCATTGACAGACTGACTCTCTTGCTGTTCTCTTTTCAAACGAGCCTGCTCCAAGTTCTCACGGAACTCTTTCTGTCGTTTGAGGTACTCCTTAGTCGACTGGACGGTAATATCTCGAATGGAGGGAGAACGATAGGCCACGGCTGACGAGCTAAAGGGTCGCAAGAGGGAAGTTACCGAGCGCGCTGAGCGCGCTGCGCGTGGACCCAACATGATGGTATGTGGAAAGAACAAGGGACAGAAAAGTACGCTTGACAATAAATCCGAAGTTGACAATAAACTGGGGAAGGACAGTATAGAATCAAGGGAGTAGGAAAAGGAAAAGTGAAAGGTGAAGATAGAAACAAGGTGAAGAGGGGGGCCTGGAGAAAGTGGAGAGATGCAGGGATCAGGCTGGAGTTGCAGGGGAGCGTTGAAGGGGGCGATGATCGGTGATATGTGTACCGATTGGACTATGGTGAGTGACCACCGGTAATCAAAGTTAGGCAGTAACCTGAAGATACTGAAGGAAAATTGATTACAGTATAGAATACTTGATACAGTGCAAGCTTCAAATGAAGCTCATGTGCGGGGAAGGAGCTTCCCCGAGTTCTTTGGTACGGAGTAATAGTGACGGGCTGTGCTGGTACCACTTGCCTAAGTTTACAGCCAATCTACTACTAAATGTGGGTAATGATGACATCGCCGAGATGTACTCGATACCCAAGGTTTGACTCCGTTGGTACTCCGTATATCGCCACTTATTATGTGAGCTACTACAAAGAACACGGCTGTTTATCGCAAATATCATGCAATACGCAATTCGATACATCTGCCGCTATGACGTTGGTCTCCACGCGCTTGCACATCATTAATATGTGTGTTACTGAAGCACTTTCGAGTTGTACTGTGTCCACCTAAAATGAGTATAAAATCATAATAGCCGTACATCGGGATATACCCTGTAAATTAGGCAAGTTGGAAATCCATAGGCAAAGAAGTGATGACGTTACCAGATAAACAGCGATTGGGCGCCAAACCCTGTGGACACCGCCCCCGGGCAGATCTCAACTACCTCCCGAGGTCCTAACTTCATGATTACTGTTTTGGTTCTCAAATCTGAACAATGGCCGAATCAATCAACCCCCCGCTGTCTTACGAGGCATCTGCCACCACCACTCATCCCCATGTCGCTACCTCGTTGCCATCCGAGGTCATCTCGTGTCTCAAGAACTCCCGCTTCGTAAGTACAACACCGTTAAACAACCAACCCACCAAACTGACGTTTTATCGCCCCAATCAAGCTGCACCTGGCAACATGCGATGACAAAACCCCCCACATCTCACTGATGTCCTACACCTATCTTCCCTCGACCCCATTCGACCCGCACCCCACCATTATCATGACCACAAACCCCGCATCGCGGAAAACAAATCACCTGCTGTCCAACCCGCGAGTCTCACTACTGGTCCACGACTGGGTCTCGCATCGCCCGCCAACCCGGGCCTCGACGCACGGTGACCGCGATGGCTCCCCACCACCCGCCGCTACCCGTTCGTCTCTGGCCAGCCTGTTGCTCAACCTGAACACCAGTGCGCTCTCCAGCATCTCGACTACCATTACGGGCGAGGCACGGTTCCTGGATTCCGGCTCGGAGGAGGAATCGTGGTGCAAGGCTCGCCATTTGGAGAACAATACTTTTGAGGAGGAGGAGATCAATCAGTTCGGCCAGCAGCAGCAGCAACAGGATCCTAGCCAAAGACGGCCTAGCATTTCCATTGATACTGATGTGCGGGTTGTCACTGTAAGAGTCACCGAGGGTCGGATTGCGGATTGGAAGGGTGGTGTGCGCGACTGGGTTCTGCTTCCTGCTGAGCAGCAAGACTCTGGCCTGGTCAATGGCGTGGATTCTTCGTAGTTTTCATACTTTGGGGTCGATATCCTCCAGTTTCCATTTGGAATGCAAAGAATGAGTGTATAGCAATGGCTATACTTCCTGCCGCATTAGCACTATATCCTCGAAAAGCTCGGATATATAGTATATAACCTTGCCCCAATGTATCCCCCTTTGGGCTGATTGGTCTAAAATCGTCAGCTTGTCAAATGGATTGGACTTGCATAATTGAATATGAATAACTGAATTGAAATCAACACAAGTAGCTGTAGATATTAGACTCGAAGTATCACAGTGTTTAATGCATGTAGACAGTGATCGCAGAGGACCGCCACTTATCAAACCTTATCGGAGCGAGCTTGCAGCTTCTCCGCAACAACCGACCTCGTACTCCGTGGAAAACACAACCTCTCTCCCACAACCTTGCAATGCGCTTAGAGATACAATTTCTTACACGCCAAATACCTCAATTATCCCACCATCAACAAACCCACCCAAAATGAGACTCGCACACCTCCACCTCCCCCACACAACGCCCTTCAGCCACGTCTCGCAACTCCAACAAGCCCTCACAACCCGCCTCCTCACGTACAAGAAACTCGCCTCCCCAGGCTCAATATCCTCCCAAGATCCAACCATCTCAAGTGCCATATTAGCCAAAGCCCCACCCCCACCCCCAGACCCAACAATCATCACCTTCACCCCAAATCCCGTCTACACCACCGGCCGCCGCGACCTCCCACCTTCAAACACAAGCCCACCCGACACCACAAACCCCAACATCTCTCTCCCCCCACCCCTCGAACCAATCCGCTCTATCCTCACCCCACACGGCACCCAACCGCCAAAGGCAGAGTACCACCCCACTCTCCGCGGCGGACAGACAACCTACCACGGGCCGGGCCAGATGGTCGCATACACGATCCTAGATCTCAAGCGACTGGGCCTCACACCCCGGTGCCATATCCGCGTTTTGGAGAACAGCGTCATCGACCTACTAAAGAGCTACGGGGTGGGGGGATTTACAACGGAAGACCCGGGGGTGTGGGTGAAGCCAGGATCAGGATCACAGCCTAAGAAGATTACAGCTGTGGGTGTGCATCTTCGACGCAATATCAGCAGCTTTGGAATCGGGCTCAATGTTACAGACGAGCCGATGTGGTTCTTCAAGCAGATTGTGGCTTGTGGGCTTGAGGGCAAGGAGGCGACTAGTCTGCAGGGTGTTGGGGTTCCGGGATTGGAGATTGGGGATGTTGCTGATGCATTTGTGGAGAAGTTTGTTAATCGAGTGAACGCTGATTTTGCTTGTGGGGAGAATTCGACGGGGGAGAAAATTGATGAGGTTTATCGGGTTAGGGAAGAGGATTTGTTGTAGTATAGAGCTTGTGATTAAAGACACTCTGCTTGGATGCGGGGCTTGTGTTATAAGTGTCATATTTCTGTTGGTTGTTTCATGCTGATCCATCAGCTGTCGAACTTGTATAACCTATATGTATGATGATGTATGTAGCTTGGATAGCTAGAGAACTGTGGTTAGTGACTTGACTGGATGGTTTGAATCACGAGGATGCAATGTAAGGCACCCAATACGGATGTGCATTTTTGAACATAGTTGTATTCATAATGTCACTGCGAATTAGGCACATCAGGCAAGATGGAGAAAGACAAAGCGCAGGTCCTCGGAAGTTATCCAGCAACATGAATGAACAAATATTGCTGGCAGAAAAGCAACCCAACGCTAAGTATCTTTACACCAAACTTCTGTTGTCATGTACCCAATCTGATATACTTTAGGACGGTGAGGCAAAGGCGGTGATGAGAAGATCGAGAACTTTCAACTCACCAAAGAGAAGATTTTAGAACAGTCTTATGTCAAAAAAGCCCTCGCAAACTCAAATGAAAGTTACATTTGTATATCATAATTAGGACTCAAAAAAACCAACCTCGCTGAAATGCTCGGAAGAGATCCGGAGCTATGCGATCATGCGATCAACATAGACCGGTTTCTATGCGGTCTGAATGGAGCAAACATAGTCTGCCCCGATGAAGAAGAAAAGTCGAAAGCCAGCTCAAAACAAAAGCAAGCTCAAAACACCGAATGCATGGGGGAATCACCAAATCCAACCGGAACGTGGGGAGAAGCAAAAATTAACAAAGGGCGAAGTGAATATGGGAAGAAAATGGATATCCAGCGAGTAAACGAAGCCCAATATGACAAACATGAAAGGTTACCATGCGTGTCAAGAACAGGTTGCAATACATCATCTTACTGAATGATGCAGCTCGAACCGGAAGACGAGCTCCCGCCCGCGTTCACCTCGAGGGCAACCTTGGCAGCCTCGTAGAAGCTTTCTCTGATACCGCGATTTTGGACCGCAGAGCATTCTGAATAAATGAGCCGTGCGATCAGGTCTAGATCAATTGAAGAGTACTCACCCAGGTACTTCACGGCGCCAATCTCCTTTGCCTTCGCTAGGCCCTGGTCGAAGCTAATGCAGTTGGGGTTGTCGTTCATGTCTTCGTCCTTGCGCAAATCACACTTGAGTGCTGTCAGAACCACGCGTACGCCCGGGCAGTTCTCGTTAATCTCGGCGATCCATTTCGATGACACGTTCTCGAAGGAGTCAGGGCTGTCGACCTATTCATCGTACTTGTTAGCTTATATGCTGCAGTGTATGAGAGGGACCGTTGTTCTTACACTGAAGCAGAGCATGAGAACATGTGTGTCCTCGTAGGACAGTGCGCGCAGTCGGTCAAACTCTTCTTGGCCCGCGGTATCCCATAGCGAGAGCTCCACGTGAATATTGTCGACGAAGATATCTAGGGTGCGCGTGAGTTTTGAGGATCATTATCCGTGGAGAGGAGTGGGGTAATTACGTACCATGCACGTAGTTTTCTGTATTCCTCCGTCAGCGATGGTTCAAGAAATTCTATTCAACTTCGGGGAATGCGCGCATACCAAAGACCGTAGGTTCGCTGAGCACAATAAATAACTGGAGTCAGTAATCTGTACTTGAAAGTATGCTCTGAAGATAGTATAGTCCCTTACTAGACCGTCGGGAAGAATCTAGTTGTCAACATTAGCTATGCTGTCTCATCATCGGAGACGGGTGAGGGGGAAGATTGCGCACCCACGAGTAAACACATTTAGCGCAGATGTCTTGCCGCAGGCACCATCGCCTCTGTGAGAATGTCAGACCAATCGCCAATTATTAGCGGGGAAATTCCGATCAAAACTAACAGCAGCACCATCTTGCGCTGGACCACCTTCTGACGGCCGCACAGCTGCATTGCGCAAAGTGATTCAGGAGGCTTGGAGTAAAGAGATTAGGGGGGGGGGGCAATGGACAGGTATGTTCACGTATTATGTGTTAGTTCGTGAAATGGTATTCGTATGAAGGTTGGGAACAATTATGTGACAGTAGAAGAATAAGGTTGTTGTCGGGGAAAGATTCCAGGACTGGCTGAGTCGATGACATCGCGTACTGAAGGGCTAGAGGGATCGGCGAATAGCGTCAGCCCCCTTCTGGTCCACCTAGGGGAATTTTTTTTTTATAATAATTCAACTGTTAAATTCAGGTCATTTTTAAAGCTGTCTTATACTAGTTTGTTTGCGGTTCCTGATGTTTTTGGTTTGGGGGCGTTATACTCCCGCCTTTCTACAGGGGTTAAGCTGAAGAGAGACTATCAATTCATATCTAACTATCTTCTTACTCTCTTTCATGGCCTACATTGGCTATCTTTTTCTACTACATACTACATACTAGTGCTTACTGCTTACAGTTTAAGTCTCAATATGCAAAGAGTCTACTAGGACTGCAACAGTTAACATACCAAGCCCCTGACAGGTAACAAAGCTTTCCGGGATGCAAATATTCAGGTGGAACTCTTAATTTCCTTTCTTATGGGTGTCATAGGTTCAGAGGGCCTAAATTATCCGTCTAATTCATGTCGCCTGCGTCGAATAATTGTATGTTGTAGGCTCTTTAATAGTCAATAAGTAGATGGGCTCCTTCTGAGTGGAACAATAACAAACTATTCAAGTCTAGCATTGAATAAGCGTAAACCTATTGAACAATCGCTATTCAAAGTTGAATCGACATTGTTGTTAAAAAAAATGTACAATGTACAATGTACAATGTAGTTCTAACAGTCTCCTCACGATAGTCAAGGCGGAAGCTCAGCTGTTATCTGGCCGAGCTTCTCCAACACTCCAACCCCACCACTTTACGACCCTCTCTATCCAAACAACCCTTCGTCTCTTTTCAACATATTATACCGCCCAGGATGTCTGATGACGATGATTTCATGCAGGACTCTGGGGATGAGGAGTATCGGTCCCTCCCCTTCGCCTTCCAGACCGAGCTGACCGTTGAAACCGCAGTTACGACTTTGAGTATGAGGATGCAGATGACGACGACTCCGGTGACATCGGAATCGAGAACAAATACTACAATGCCAAGCAAATCAAAGTTGATAATCCGGAGGAGGCAGTCGACGAGTTCCTAGGCATAGCGCCCATGGAACAAGACAAAGGCGACTGGTAATTGTTGGCTCCTAGGCTGATCGCGACAACTGGTCCTAACTATGAAGCATAGGGGATTCAAAGGTCTCAAGCAGGCCATCAAGCTGGAATTCAAGCTCGGGCGATACAGTGATGTAAGCTCAATGTCTCAAGTTCCTCTAACTGCCCAGATACTGACTCCCATCTCTCTATTAGACTGTCGCACACTACCGGGAACTGCTCACATACGTCAAATCCGCTGTTACACGAAACTATTCAGAGAAATCGATCAACAATATGCTCGATTTTATCGAGAAAGGCTCCGACAATGCAGAGGCGTACCAATGCATGGAGGAATTCTACTCTCTGACTCTTGAATCATTCCAAAACACAAACAACGAGCGCCTTTGGCTGAAGACAAACATTAAACTGGCTCGCCTGTGGCTGGAACGCAAGCAATATGGCCAGCTGAATAAGAAGATGCGGGAATTACACCGGGCATGCCAACGAGAAGACGGATCGGACGACACCAGCAAAGGAACATACCTACTCGAGCTCTACGCGCTTGAGATCCAGATGTATGCGGAAACGAAGAATAACAAACGACTAAAGGCCTTGTACCAGCGGGCCCTCCGAGTGCGGTCGGCAGTGCCCCATCCCAAGATCATGGGTATTATCCGTGAATGTGGAGGCAAGATGCACATGAGCGAAGAGAACTGGAAGGAGGCACAAAGTGATTTCTTCGAGTCGTTTCGAAACTACGACGAGGCGGGTTCCATGCAACGAATCCAAGTCCTCAAATACCTGGTCTTAACGACCATGCTTATGAAGTCCGACATCAACCCGTTCGATTCCCAGGAAACCAAGCCATACAAGAACGATCCCCGTATTTCTGCGATGACCGACCTGGTGGATGCCTTCCAGCGGGACGACATCCATGCATATGAGGATGTGTTGAGCAAACATCCCGACGTCTTGGCGGATCCTTTCATTGCGGAGAACATCGACGAGGTGAGCCGCAACATGCGCACTAAGGCCGTTCTCAAATTAATTGCACCCTACACTCGATTCTCGCTGCAATTTATCTCCAAACACATCAAAGTCTCTGTACCCGAGGTGCTAGACATTCTCAGTTTTCTCATCCTGGACAAAAAGCTCAACGCCAAGATTGACCAGGATAATGGTACAGTGGTAGTGGAGAGTGCGAGTGACGTGGAACGGCTGCGAGCTGTGGGAGAGTGGAGCTCAGCACTGCGCACCCTCTGGCAAACAACTCTCAACGGTGAGGGATTGCGTGCAAATGATACATCTCATGGCGCCATTTTCCAGTCCAGTTTGGACGAGGGTCGACCTGGCCGTGCACGCAAGGATCGAGGCAAGATGCCAGCTAAATGGATGTTCTAGGTTGTTATTTTCTTTTTTACGAAGGACTTTTTAAGCGCCCATTTGCCCCACGTTTGCATATCCGGCCGAGCCGCGTGAGAAAAAAAGACGATCTCACACCGGTCTTTGTGTTGGGCTTTGGTACCTATGTAGCTTTCGAGAATTCAGACCCGCTATTTAGAGTTGGTCTGACAGACGCTAAAATCACGATAAGATGAACTATTTATGTTTATTATTATTTTTACAGGTGTGTATGTTGTAGTGTTAATAATAATAGCTAACTAGTAGTTCTACTGTAAATACTTCTAAGCCTCCGAGGTTCCAAGGTTCGAAGTAATCTCACGTAAGGAAGCTTAGCTTTGCCCGGGTGGAATTATATACCAGGGCTACCTAGGTACACTCAGGTGATAGGCTAGATTATAATCTAAAGACTACAAAGAAAAGAGAGAGAAAAAGCAATGACCAAGGGCATGTGAACACATATCCTGACAGGGGGACCTTATCTACTATAGGATTGCATTTATGTGCAGGTACGGAGCTCCGATTTCTTTCTTTCGGGACTACTCCGCACAGAATACATACCTACGTCGGCTCATTCGGATTCGCCTTGAGATCTGTTGAACTGCATCAAAGTTCTATACGCGCCCTGGGGATCACAAATCCCGTAACGCGTCAGAATATCCGAGCACCAGGTCGGGTGATTTGACAACTGGAGGCAAAACCTAACATGTAAGATAGAATATTACCAAAATAAAAACAAGTAATGCCACCATCGCTCGCGGAATAACGAAAAACGGAAACCAAAAAAGCAAATGCCGTCTGCATCGAATCGGGGGGCCACACCAATCAGGGGGCCAACGTAAATCGAAACGAGATATCCCAGACCTCAGCCTTGGAGTTTCCAAACCCCGCTTTTGGAGCCTTTTTTTTTTACACCTGTTATCTTTTTGGATTTCTTTTTTTTTTTGTTCCCCTGTTATACGCTCTGGCGCGTCCATGGAGAATATGGAGCTCCGATTAGTTCGAATCAATTGGAGGGTGGATATAATATGGGGTGATAGTGTACTCCGTAAGGGATTTGATAATCCGATGCATACAATAACTAGTTAGACGTATAGTCAATATGCATATAATAGAGATCAAGGCCTTCTAAATGTCCTATTAATTCCTATTATAAGGGGTTTGTGGGGTAATGGGGGATACTTGAATACGTACAACCTATGTACAACCCTAAGGATGTACATATTAACAAAAAAAAATAGGGCGTTTACGCGAGATGTTGTTCGATCAGCATCTTCAGACATCTGTATGGACGGAGAAGAGTAACTGGGGCACGGTGCATCGTTACTTCATAGTTAGCCCATTTCTTTTTTTTTTCCTCTTTTACTTTTCTTTCTTTTTATGTGACACTTTTTATTTTTTTTTTGTTTCTATCATATTCCAGTTTTCATATAGGGAAGGGTTGATATTGTCTTTAACCCAAACCTATTTGCTCCTCTCTATTTTCTCCCCCGCGAAAACCTCCTAACCTTCTAAATTCCCTAAACTCCCTAAACTCCTTTCTCTCCCCTCTCGTCAGCTCTCGACTTTATCCAACTTCTTTGATCCGAGATCATACTATTTCGGCAGCCCCTCCATGATTTATCTCGGGTAACAAGGTGAGCTCCGATTTTCTTTTATCATTGTGTGTCATACACTCCTATTTCTTGGCCCCCATGACGGCTGTCTCCTCCATTTTATAATTATCCGGAATCCATATCCGCTGGGTCAACTGGAAAAGCAGACTCTATGAATGATCCCTGTCAATTTCACACAGCGGTTCGTGCACCCCTCCTTTGGAGGATCCCCTGGCCGTTTCCAACCGACTTATAGCCGGTTGACATCATTGAATGTTTCTTTTTCCACGCGATTGTGATATTCTCCTTTGATGGCTTTCAATCTCTTCACAAAACTTATTTTATACACACAATAATGGGAGAGCTGTCTGGCCCAGAGGCTTGTGACACAACTTCCATCTGCCCCATTTTGCTCTCTGTATCCTATCGGCCTCCCCGGGTGTTGAGCTTGATCTTATCTGGCCATCAATGACTGCTATACATGTGTCTGGACCGTGCTGAGACTCTGATAGTAAGAAGCCGATCCGTTGTGTTGGGAACACACTTGAGTGTCGTACAAGGCAAAAAAGTGTGCTGCATTTCGCCCGATCCCCAGGAAATGTCCATTCGATCTGTATGTCAACTTATCTTTTTTTATATTTGGCTCTTTCTCCTCAGAGGTCGGGCTCTTTTCTAACATCGCCAGAAAACCTTAACATAACTGCCTGGGCTCTTCGACGCCTTCGAATAAGCACAACAACCGTATGCGATGTCCTTATCAAAACCTTCTTGGAATCATTTCGGTCCTCACCAGCACTTCCTGGAAAAGCAGAGTCCCGTCGATCTTTACCGGGGCGCCCTTTCCTCGTCTTTTTTTTCCCCTGTAGCACTTTCATTATCAGCCGCTTTCTCCCACCCAATCTCTTCCAACTCCGCCAACATGAATGCTCTATCCGCCGACGAGATGGAGCGCTTCCAGAAGCTTTCCAACACCTACCAGCCGGAAGTCCAGGTAATTGGTTTCGATTATCCTGGCCTGCAGCAATGGCTGACATGTCGACAGGGCCTTCTTGTCTCAACCAAACAGTCTACCCACAGCATCGCGATGGATTACGCGAATGCGGATCCTACCCTAGCTACAAAGACAAATGTAAGCTTTGGTGGCTTGAGCCTGTGTTACCCCATCTCTTGCATCTAACTTCTTACAGGCGCTTGCTATCACCCATCCCGAGTGCCGTATCATGAAGGGCGATGGGAATTGTGGTTGGAGAGGTATAGTGTGCATTCGGCATGAAATGTATCTCATGCTAATTCTATACAGCTGTGGCATTTGGTTATTTCGAGACCCTCTTCGCTCTCCGAGACACGCTCCGCATCGAGGCAGAAATTCGGAGAATGAAATCTCTCACTACGCTTTTGGAACGCGTCGGCCTGTCGGATTCCATCTACGAGCTCTTTGTCGATGCCACGGAAGAAGTCCTCAACCGAACCCATGCTGCTATCCAAAATGGTGTTCAAGACGAGTCTTTCCTGGTCGAGGCTTTTAATGATGGTTACTCCTCTGATGCTATCATTACCCACTTCCGAGTAAGTCTTTCTCGTTAGATGATGCTCGACCCTTTTACTTATCTGGACGTAAACTGATTGTCTCGCCATGCAGATTTTGACGAGTGCGTGGATGAAGCTCAATCCACACCGGTACCAAGCTTTCCTTCCTATGCCACTGGACCAGTACTGCAGCTCGCGGATAGACCCGGTGAAGACCGAAATCGACGAAGTTGGCCTCCAGGCACTGATCGACGGTGTAATCGAAGGTTCCGGCTTTTGTGTTGAAATTCTTTACCTCGACCGAAGTGAAGGCGAGGTCGTGACACCTCATCTACTGTCCTCTAATCGTCCCAGCGGTGCAACAATCCGCCTCCTATACCGACCGTGAGTTGTTTCGGCAGTTAATGTGTTTTACCAGTTCTAACATGGCACGCAGAGGCCATTATGATATCCTTTACCCAGTCGATACGACTTTGAATATGGCACCCATAGTTAACCTCCAATACGGAATGACGTCCGACTACTCCCCCTGGGATCAAGCTCTCGGATTTGATGTCAATTCCAGCTTAATGGCAATTCCCAACCTGATGCAAGACACATCATTCGTGATGGGCGCTCCCATGTCTCCCATGTCTTCTGTCTCGCCAACCCCCGCCAGTCCATTCCGCATGTCCCCGCAACAAGACATGTACCAATCGCCTATGCCAACCCACGCACCCATTCCGTCGATTCCTGTCTCCCCTCCTCCGCAAGTCACGCAATCCGCCGCCCCGCCACCAATGACTTCCCTGCCTAGTCGAACGTCAGACGGCCCGCAGATTCGCCTGAATCCATTAGTGATGAAACCGAATCTCAGTCGCTCGTTGCCGGTCACCACCCCTTTCAAAAAGTGTGTTCTGCCAACCTCATTCGCACAATCGACATTGTTACTAACTTATCTCCTAGCTCCCCATATAACCAAGCCCATTTCCAGAACTCCGACTTTGAACCCATCCATTGGGAACCACATGAACGACGATAAAATCTGTACGCTGTGCATGACAAGAACATGAATCTCGAACCTCGTTTTCTTTTTTCTTCGTAATGATCATTGTGGGTTAATTGGCTCGACTCGTATCATGTTGTCAGGCAGAAGGCCCCGGGCCAGCACTTTTCATGAAACTCACCCTCTTCCATTCTGCGTCTAGAAATAGGCATGGTTCACATTTTTCCTCTTTCTTATCCCCTTATCTTCTCTTCTCTAAGATTGTCCTCTTTAGCGTGGTGCAGCGCGTTGCATGGTACGAGCGTTCTCGCCCAGATTGTTTCGTTTTTATTTTTTTTTCTTAAGCCTCTCGGGGTCTTTGGTTTTTTGTTCTTTCGATTCTTTTTTTTTACGCTCTGGAACTGCAAGAAATGCACTACTATTGAACCGTATCCGTGTGCCTTGATCGCTTTGGCTAATTGGTAGGGTGTAAATTTGTGGACATGTGGTGCACCAAATCCACCTACTGCTAAGCCCGGGTATTTCCTATTCAGGGAGTGTGAATAATTTGATTGTATAATTTTTTATTCAATACGTTCTAACAGAAATACTGGATTTTGCATTTTATTTTGTTTAAAAAAAAATAGTCAAGAACATGGTCGATTTTGACGCATGGAGATGGCTTCGGGATGACGTCGGTGGAACGTTATGACTTCCAGCAATCACTTCCCATTAAACAACCGACTCACTGCATTCGGGAGAGCCCTAATGACCTGCCATAGCACATAGGCAGTATCATCCGTCGCAGAACTAGCATACGCCACCGGACGGGAGGGAATGTCCGCAGCGACGAGGATCGTATTCACCAGAGCGGCAGGGTAATGTTCCCGCAAGTACGCAATGACCAGATCGTGACCATTTGTGATTCCACCTGAGCCAGTCTCAGCATGCACATCCAGTTTGAACAAGACTCAACCCCAGATGTAAAAGGAAAAAAGAAAAGAAAAAGAAAGAAAAGAAAAGAAAAAAAAAAAAAAAAACATACCACTAGCCCACAAATTCCCATCCCTAGCAACCCTCACCGAATCATCCCACAACTTTGCCTCGGGAAACCTCTTCTTCATCTCGGGAATCAACAACCGCGGCGCAGTAACTTCCCTCCCCATCGCAATCCCAGAGTAGCCGATAACAAAGGCACCAGTGCAGATGCTCAAGATCGACGTACCCGCTGCGAAATGCGCGCGCACAAAGTCGAGGTATTCTTCTGCTGGCGGCATAGCTTTAGGCGGTGGACCGGGGATTACCACGACGTCTAGGTTTCCTGGAGCAACGGCAGAGTCTGTGACTGAGTCGGTCAATTGTATGGACATCTGGGAGGTCGTGTTGCCTGTTGTGTTTGGTCCGTCGTGCGCGATGTAGTGGATCTCGCAGGGCCGACCCATGTCGACTAGTGGCTGCGGGAGTGAGCATTCTTGCAGGTAATCTGGGGTTGTCATGTAAAGGAGATCGATGGCTGCTAGATCGAGGAGTTGAACAGTTCCTACGAGAAGGACGCCGATGCGGAGGGGGAGTGACATGGTGTGGAAGGTTAGGTTAGGATCTGGAAGTTTGACTTTGAGATCTGGAAGCTTGAAACCTGGAAGCTTGAAACCTGGAAGCTTGACTCCAGGAGAGCGAGGATTTATCACATCGCACTGGGCAAGTCAGATGCCAACTTGCTGCACCTGATTCCTCTTGAGAAACCACCCTCGGTGGACTATCCAGCAGCTGACATGCATCTAGATGTCCGGCTAGACGCCTGGCTGCTACTCTTTGGCACTGAATACCGATGAAATTGCACAGGATTTGGCAATTCTTGGCCAATCTGCGCATAATTGCGCAAGATGGAGGTTTTTTTTGCGGAAGATTGGTTTCACATAGGCTACACAGAGTGTTAAATCACTGTAGCAATTGTCACAATGTAGGAATTCGCTCATGAGTCATGTGATTCATCCCGATAGTTAAGATGTAGTTCAATCAATGAATTCCAATGATATTGTCAAACCCCGGTTTGAGATATCGGACTTGTCCCGAAAAAGATGAGAATTTCCCACCCGACGCCATTCCCCACAGGGCTTCGGGTTCGGGATGACGATGCCGAGTTTCTGTAGGGCTAGGATTTTGTTGAAATTTATATTACTAGAGGTAATTAATGTCTATTTATCTAAAACAGATTTACACGAATCTGTGTTTATTTCTTCGGTTTGTTTTGTTTTTTTTTTGTTTTTTTCAACTTTAAGACTTTGACAGGGGTTCCCCGCAATATCACGTCGGCCAGTCGGCCCACCAAATTCGGGGAAAAGCTCCCCCCAGTTTCGGGCCCCTTTTTTCGGTTGGTGCGGAGTAGACCACTCCGTTTTTGTACCATGTGGTTTGCATCCTTCGGAGTACTGTGTTCCTGATCTATATACCCCAGACGGAGTACTGTGTTCCTGGAGTTTAGGTGCTTAGAGTATAAATAAAGCCTAACAAACAGGGCTATCTCTTCTCATCGGAGAACTGAATATTCGCATATCATGGCTACTGTTACAACCAGCACGCCGAAGAGCGGCTATGCGCTCGTCCTGGAGAATCCCTTTCTATGTGGTGTGGCATCGGTAAGTGTTTGCTCTTGAGATGTTGCTGTTCACTCACTAATCTTGGGACAGTTCTCGACCCTAGGTGGTTTGTTATTCGGCTATGATCAAGGTGTTATTAGTGGTGTTATCACCATGGAGTCCTTTGGAGCTCGATACCCTCGTGTCTTTGCGGAAAGTGGTTTCAAGGGCTGGTTCGTGTCAACGCTGTTGATTGCTGCTTGGGCTGGTTCCTTGGTCAACGGACCTATTGCCGATCGATTTGGTCGGAAGATGTCCATCAATCTAGCAGTAGTGATCTTCGTCATTGGTTCGATCCTCCAATGCGCTGCTATGAGTGTCCCAATGCTGTTCGCTGGTCGAGCTATTACTGGTTTTGCTGTTGGTCAACTGACCATGGTCGTGCCTCTGTACATTTCTGAAGTTTCCATTCCAGAGATTCGTGGAGGTCTTGTGGTTCTACAACAATGTAAGTCGTCTGGAAAGGTTGGGGTATGACACATCAACTAATTTGTCTTTAGTATCTGTCACTATTGGAATCTTGATTAGTTACTGGATCGACTATGGAACAAACTACATCGGTGGGACTCGATGCGCTCCTGATATCCCTTACTCTGGTGGTACAAGTTCAAAGCCCATCTTTGACCCTTATCATGATGTTCCTGCTGGTGGCTGCACTGGCCAGTCCGAGGTGTCATGGCGTCTCCCCCTCGCCCTGCAGCTCGTTCCCGCCGTTATCCTCGGTGTTGGAATGCTGTTCTTCCCCGACTCCCCCCGTTGGTTGTTGATGAAGGAGCGTGATGACGATTCGCTGCACGCACTCTCAAGACTGCGTCGCCAGGATCGCAATAGTCCTGCTCTCAACAACGAATACCTCGAAATCAAAGCCTCTATCATGTTGGAAAATTCCTTTGCGAGGGACAACTTCCCTGGCCTTTCTGGATTCAAGTTGCACATTGCTCAGGTTTGTTGCCGATTCCTCCCTTATAATTCGATCTCACTAACACGTCGTAAAAGTACATGTCCTTCCTGACCAACTGGTCCCGTTTCAGACGGTTGGCTATTGGCTGCATCGTGATGTTCTTCCAGCAGTTCATGGGTTGTAATGGTATGTCATTTCCCCAACACACACTCATCCATAGTAGTATCTAATTCGTACAGCCATGATCTACTACGCACCTACCATCTTCGCTCAGCTCGGTCTGGATGGCAACACCTCCTCCCTCCTTGCTACTGGTGTCTACGGTATCGTCAACTGCCTCAGCACCCTCCCCGCACTCATCTTCATCGACAAAGTCGGTCGTCGACCTTTGCTCATGGCAGGCGCCGCGGGAACTTGCATTTCGCTGGTGATTGTGGGCGGCATCCTAGGTGGCTTTGGTTCCTCACTTGTGAGCAATAAAAGCGCCGGTTGGGCTGGTATTGCCTTTATCTACATCTACGATATCAACTTCTCCTATTCCTTCGGTAAGATCATGCCTTGTACCCCTCTTTCTTATCCTCTCCAGCACCAACTAACCATGTTTCCACTATTAGCCCCTATCGGTTGGGTTCTTCCTTCGGAGATCTTCAACCTCTCCATTCGATCCAAGGCCATCTCCATCACTACCTCGGCAACATGGATGTGCAACTTGTAAGTGACAGCGTTCCAAATCGGCCGCTGGTATTTGATTCGAATCTAACAATATCTGTCTTGCAGCATCATTGGCCTTATCACACCTGATATGCTCGAGTCCATCACCTACGGCACATACATCTTCTTTGCTGCCTTCTGTCTTCTCGCATTTGCATTCACTTTCTTCTGTATCCCCGAGACCCGAGGAAAGGTACGTTCCGCAACCCTCTGTTCCAGCGTGGGCCACATTATCCATGAAAGATTGACCATGCTAACTATCTTCCAACAGACACTCGAAGATATGGATCTCATTTTCGGCGATACAGCCGCCCACGAAGAAAAGATGCGCATCAAGCACATCGAAGCCGAGTTGCGTGGAACACCTATTGAAGAAGATATCATCAAGCCGTTCGATTCCCACGCAGAGCAGGCATGAACGCCATGAAATACAATTACGGCGTAAAGAGAACATTACGCGTACATAATAACTTATTGACATAGGATGTCACGAACTGTGTATCAAATATCAAATCCAGTCAAAATCATGCAGAAGTATTCGCTGATACCTATATGACTTCCAAAAAGTGCTAATTCCCATTTTTCATATACCCATCCTACAATGCAAGCTACTTACAGAAAAGAAAAAGAAAATAAGTAACAAAACTACAGCCATTCATTCCGCCGCGGGGAAATTCACCCATTCAGAAAAGTCCATGCCACCAGTACTGTGTATTTGCATGTGCTGCTCGACTGGGAACAAACTTCCACCGAATCCAGGATCACTGAAGAGCTGCCCGGGGAACGGCATCATGTTAGGCTGCAGCTGTGGAGACATGTGCTGGTGCTGGTGTTGCTGCTGTGCTTCGTGTTGGTCTCCTTCGGTTGGGATTCCCTGTGGTACTGGGTGCGTTGGTGGGCCGAGGAGTCGGTTGATGACTTCGAAGCAGCGGGTTGCGAAGCGGTTTGTGCCGAGCGATGGGTGGGTTAAGAGGGATTTTGTGGTTTCAATGTCCTGGAGCCAGGAGGCGGCTTCTTGGTTTGATGGGTCGGTCATTAGGAAGACTATTGGGATGAGACCTGCTTGGAAGAGGAAGTATCTATTTGTGATGTCAGATGTCGTTCTGGTGGAAAGGAATGATCCTGGGTGCGTAGATATAGGGAAATACATACAGCATATACCATGCCCCAAGTCTGGTGCACATATAGTTCTCCATGTACTCCGAGATGGAGGAGATGGTCAGACGTGCGTTCTGAAGACAGCGCAATCGGCACTCCGTCTCGAAGGGATCGTCGCACCCTGTATCTGGCGTGCCTGGGCCGCTGCCGCTAATTGGGGCCCAGCGTCTAGCGGCCCAGCGGAGTAGGATTGGTCTGTAGATCAGAATGGTGAGGTTCCAGTTTCGCCATAGCAGGCGGTTGCGCACGAGTGCGAGAGAGTCCGGGTCTGGATTGGTTGGCTGCATGGAGAGAGGCACCTGCGGGTGTTTGAGGTAGGGTGGAAGACCGTTGTACCATTCTTCGATGGGTTTTTGCAGGTTCAGCGTGTCTTCTGGGGTGAGGCTGGGGCTTGAGATGAGGCGTTGGTAGACGCTATTGGTGAGCAGGTGGAAGCTGGCCTGGGCAATTAAGCCGGAGTAGATGGTTGGGCCGGGGGATTCGGCTGGCAGAGTTGTTGTTGTGGGAGTCAAGGCCTGTAATGTATTAGTTATAGCTGCTTTTTTATGTCTCATTTTGGTTGTAAGTACCTCTTCGTGAATATTCCGAACCTGCTTCGCATCCATGACATTGTCCTCTGGGAGTAAGATCGGTCTTCCGAAGGTTTTGGCTGCGCCGCTGTCAAAGATGAAAACTCCCCACCACAATCTTCGGCGGATTTCTCTTTGTAGGAGACTGATCTTCCAGCCAGGGAACTCCTTGTGAAGACCCAAGCTCATGGCCATTCGAACTGCTAAGCCAAGATAATTCCATCCAGTGTTGGGCTTGTTCCGTTTCTGTGCATAGTTGCTCAGTAACAATAATGCTTGGACTAATGTCAGATTGCCAGTCTCAAACACAGATGCCTGCTGCAAGTATCCTCTAGCTTCTTGGTAGAATGTGATATCGAGGTCTGAGCTGTCATCGCCGATACACCAGGCTCCAAGAGCTAAGATCGTGTTGAGGAGGATATGCCAGGCCGTGCCATGCGGGCGTAGAGATGGGTCATTAAACTGCATCCGGAAGGTAGGCTCGTGAATAAATGGGTAACTAGTATGGTAATTGAGGAAGAACGCGTCGATAAACGCTTGTTCGATCAGCCCAGATGGGGCACTTTCCAGAAGCTGTGCTTTGAGAGGCACGCCTCCTGACC